CTCCAAAGGTACACCACGAACTGGCCACGCGGCGAATGCGTAACATGCTGGTCATGTGAGTGAACAATTAGGCGTATGATTAATATATTGATCGCAAGGCATTATGTGTGTGTTGCGTGTTTTATGTTGCACTATGACCAAATGCTAGTGGCAATCAGAAACACATTTTCCAGCGCCTGCAAACGAAACCGATTAATGGATATGCACTACAATTATATATATATATATATACACGTATTTATTGTCCAGCAGCGCCAACTCACCCCACCCTCGCCTTGATTGCACCCTTGCCTCTGCAGTTTGCACTATGATTATGTTATTTGGCTAAATGTTGAATGTAACCACAAGAGGCCACAACACAACCGGTTCCGTTCTCTGCGTCACTCCCTTCTCTTCCTTCTCTGTCTATATCTCTGTTTCTATCTCTATCTCTGTCTGTGTTTGTTGCAATCATGGCAATTGAATCATTTGGCTTGGAGAGCGCATACAAGATTTACGGTCCAACCGCCACGGCAACAACAAACTGTGACTAGGAGAATTTAAAGAGCAAAACCTGGTCATGATTGTCGTTTTGCCAGTTTTTGTTGCTGAGAGCATATAAAAAAAAGTGAAAGTGCACACTTGGGGCTCTTATAGTGCCTACACACACACATTTTCCTATGCATGTTGACTTGTGTAAGTTGCAGTGTATATATACACTGCTATAAGAAGAAATAGATCAACATATTTGAAAATCATTGTGCTTATAAGTATAGTTTTAGGTAATCAATTTGTTATTATTATTTTTTTTTATTTATTATTATTCCCTAATATAAGAAAAAAATAATTGTGTGATTTTTTTTAAGTTTACTGGCACATTATGGTAATATTAACCCATAATATTATAATTATTAATAATTAAGAAAATAACTTTTTCATACATTTTATGATTTGTTATAATTGTTGTAATTATATATTGTCTATCGTATCTCGAAAAGAAAACATAGATTTCCCTGCCTGGCAAGTAAAGTTTCCCAGTTTTGATCCAGCTCGGTTTTAATGAGAAACAGTTAAAAAAAATTAAATAAATTTATAAATATATATATATAAATATATCTAAGCTGTATTCAATATTTAAATAGCAAATAAATCTTGCAGATTACGCACTTTAACAAGGCAGCTTAGCGGACAATGTTTATTTATTTCATATGAAATCAATAGATTAATAAATCTTAACTGTCTCAACAGTCGGCCGACTATATATATATATATATTACAAGCCCAACTTTTGCATTCTACATTTGGTATAACTCTTTTTTGATAGTTACTGATTCATGATATGAGTTTGAAACATATCAAAACATTACACATTAAAATTAAATAAATAATTTATAAATGTTGACTGGATTCAATATTTAGGTAACAATAAAAACAATGCTAGTTTCCACACTTTGAACAGCAGCGCAGTATTTATTCTGGTGGTCTTAACTGCATAGCAGTTATAGTTATATAGCAAATACAATCGATCTGTCAGCTTGGCCAACTATATGTATTGCAATATAAACTTTTTTATTTGACGTATAATAAAACTATTTTCTGATATTTTCTGCTGCATTGCTGCTGCCAGTTTCTTGTTGTTTTCTCAGTGTGGCATGTGGACGGGCATTTAAACATAACAGATACTTGAGCTCTGACAGTCACCATGGAAATGTTGGACCCAGTCAGGCCGGGCAAATCAAGTCTGTCGTGTTATGCTGGGCAGACCTTCGTGAATGAATGAATGTAACTAGAAGTTCATACGTAAGCATTATGTACATATAAATATGTATGGGTATAGATCTGTGTTTGTTTTCATACAACAATGGAGCGTACAGAAGTGCAACAAAATGCATGAATAAGCAACAACTCAATTTAAATAAAGCAACAAGAGAGATGAGACAGATAGATAGATGGAGAGAGAGCGAGAGAGAAACCCAGTGCAGTATTTTATTAGGCATTTGCAGCACTTTTGAATATCTCTGCAGATACAACTACAATTACTACTCCAACTACAACAACTATTACAATATGCATTCGCAAGACAAAAAAATAAGCAAATGATCCAACAAAGCAAAGAATTTTGCATCAATTTCAAATTAGGGCAAATGTTTACATACAAATGTGAGCTTTTATATACGTTTGCATGTATGCAGTAAGTAGCGTTATCCGCAGGGGCTAAAAAAAGGAAAAACAAAAAAAAAAGCAAAAAACACAAAAAACCATTTCGTTTTATGGCCTGAACACATAAAAATGTGTGTGTGTGAGAGTGTGTGTAAAATAAGGAAGTAGTTTCAGAAAGCAAAAAAGTGAGACCCTTTAGGGACAGAAGTGTGTCTATATGTGTACATGTATGTGTTGATATGCCCGAATTGCATCAAAAGCGTAGACAATAAAGCCATTTAAATTTATAATTTTCAAGACATTTCATACGCGAAAACTGAAAAATACACATTATTTATTAAGTTGTTTGTTAAGTCATCGTTTTTATTGTTAGAAACTGAACACTCATGAATAATAAGAGCAAAAAATATATTTACGATTCTATTGTATCCTTAAGGCAAAGAAAGAGAGCTGCTCAAAAGGCTGATTTGCTTTCAAATATTTATGTGTATTTATTTTTAAATAACTTTGGGATACTTAGCAGTTAGAATAAAGCTTCAAATCACTGTCAGAGATTAACGTAATTTCGGGTATTATTTCATAAGAATTTGTTAAAATGTGTCAAGAATATATATTTTATAGACTTTAATTTTTTTATTTTTTTTTATATTGTTTCATAGATATTATTTTATGTATATTTATTTTCAGTAGATTTTGTGTAAATAATATATTCATAGCTTTTTTTTAGCATTTTCCCAAACATATCTGTGAACTACTATTATTGTATGTATTTATATTTTTTCAAATATTTAAGCTTTGTAAATTTAAATTTACAGTTTTATTTATTGAAAATAATTTGAAACTTACAACGCATACAAAATGCGTGCCTTTTCAAAACCGTAATTTATAAATTGGCAGACGTGACTATTAAAACTATTGATCCAAATCCAATAGCATTCTGTTCAAATACCGGTATGTATTCCATGCATGCTTTGAGCCAATAAAAAGAGAGGCATTATTACTATAACAAATGAAATAAAGCGGCTTAAAAATAACGCTTTTCACTTGACAAAATATAAATCATAAAAACTAGACCTTTGTTCCGAAATCATAAAATTGCAGTTCTCCAGCTATGCATAAAAGTACTTTACAACAAACTACATTACAAAATTCTTTTATGCCACAAATGCTTCAATATTTAAGGGTTAAAATGTGTAAATCCTGTTAATAAAAAGTATATCTTTATATTTCAGCTTTGGGTATGTGGAAAAGTGTCCAATCAAAGTTAAAAAAACCGTAGACATGATAATTAAATAATTATGTTATATATATATATGAACAGTCAGAGAATGTAAACATCGATTTTTATGGACTACTGCATAATAATGATCTGCATATTTGCACAATTGACAAATGCATTTGCAATTGTGTAAACCCTTTGACAACAGATGGCGCAAGGACTAATATCAGGCGGTAGGAGGCGAAAGCGTTAGAGTGCAGAATAGCGGGACAGTCAGAACAATAAGTACATAGTTAGCAGTTAAGCAAACTTTAAATTGACAAATACAAAGGCCCTTCACAAACAGACACACACACACACACGCACACACGAGCGGGCAGAAAGTGTAGATGATGGGCGCCACCTGCTGGCGAGGAGAGGAGGTAGAGTAGACTGCAACCAAAATGACAAGCGTACTTTTGATAGACTTGTTGACGACAAACACTGTCACTTGGCAGCTGTCAGTTACAGCCAAAGCGAACTTCTGTCTGTCTGTCTGTCTCTGTATGTGTGCTTGCGTGTTTGTGAGTGTGGGTGCGTGTGGGTGCGTGTTGGCGCCTGCTTGTTAACATGGCTATGCATGTGTGTGTGTGTGTGTGTGTGTGTGTGGAGGGCGCATACATGTGCGAGTATCGGACTTAGCCATGGGCAGAGCCGCAATTTCTGTTACAATTTTCTTTTTTTGGCTCGTTTTTTTCGCATAAATATATAATGGACTAAAATCAATATACATGATTTTTGGTCAATTGGCGCAAATATTTATGTGTAAAAAACACTCTCCGTGTACTATATATATATACTTTGTGGTTCAATCTTGGTAATTGCAATTACATGTTGTTTGTTGCAATTCATTTATTATGTTTTTAACGCACAATGTGACCGATATGAAAACAACAACAACTTCAAACACAAAATACAGCTACAAAATATACAACAACATTGCACTCACTTTGGTTTGTTTTCTTGTTTTGTTTTAGTTTTTTTATTACTTATTTATTTATTTACGCGCGCGTGTGAGAAGGAGACGATGACGAAATTTTTTGCGTATTTTTTGTGTGTTTCGGCAATTGTGCGACAAATTCGACAGCACGTCTAACTCGCAGTAGCGACGCTTACGTACTAACTTACGTATGCGAATTACGTGCTGGCCAACTAAAGCCGAAGAGCGCTGAGCCAAGCCGAGTGACGCGGCCACTGAAAGCGAAACTTAATCGTTGCAAGTTAATTGGGCAACAGTTGGAGCGAAGAGAGCGGATGAGAGTGAGAAAAAATTTAAAGCCGTTAGTTGTTGTAATGGAGAAGCAAAAGCATAACGAAAACAAGTTTTAAGCCTAATATTTACATTAAATGTATAATTTAAACAGCTGCTGGGCCCCACCAGCTGTATGTGAAAACAAGAACAAAGTAGTCACTTATTCGTCAGATATTTTAATAGATATTCCGGCTTTTTTTTTCAAAACAAAATCTATTTCAAAATGAGTACGTTGAATTTTACATTTATCAGTGTTGGTTAGAGTTGTTTGTTGATATCGCTATCGATAACGACTAGTATTTTTTGAGGTATTATTTGGTTACTCATCGCTCATATGTTTTCTATCGAGTTTTTGTTGTGCACTCAATAAAACAATTTGTGAAATTTCTGCAAATCTGACAATGAATATGATTTCAGATGCTCCAAATTGAAACAAATAATGCTTGTGTAATGCTAGAAAACATATCCTTGTGTGTCATCAAAATCGAAGTCGATTTGGAAGCTAGTGCAGGTAAATCAACTCGTCCCATGACAAAGGAATTTTTTGCGTTTATTTTTACTAAATCATTTTATTGTGTTTTTTGGCAGAACAAGAAGGAGCCGTCTCCGCGGAGCATCCGACCAATCCGCGTGTGCAGAAGGAGCGCGAAAGAGATCGAGGACTTCGCCAGACGCGCGACATCATCATCGAGACGTACACAAATCAACGTTGGAGCAGCGAACTGAAAACCGAAGACAACAACGACGAATCCTCCACAAAAATGAACTGGGCCGCCGCACTGCAGCAGCACGGCTCGAATAGTCCGACGGCGGGCAGCTCTCGCGAGACAACGCCGCGCGGCGGCGATGACTCACAAGTGACCGCCTCGAATTTTCCACAGGAAATCGGCTACTTTTCGGGCAATCCCATTGTGGAGGTGACCAAAGGCATTATACATCTGTACAAGAAAAAGTGAGTAAGTAGAACCATTGTCATCTACAACAAAGTAATATGTTTGTGCTTGCAGCGAGCGCAAGGCCATCAAGGAGGCACCCTCGAATCAGCTGTGTCTGCTGGCTGTGCCGGCGACCCTAAATTGCCACGATTTGCTGAACTTTATTGCGCCATGTCACGCCGAGATCAGGCATGTGCGCATCGTGCGCGACGGCAGTCCCAATCAGTTTATGGTGCTGCTGGAGTAAGTGCAGTAAATCCCGGCAAGGTTTAACATGATTTCTATGAACATTTTGTTCGTCTTCCTTTCCAGATTTCGCTCAAATGAGTCGGCGCTGGAGTTTTATAAATCATATAATGGCATTGCATACAACTCTTTGGAGCCGGATTCGCTGTGTCATGCCGTCTGGGTGTCGGAGGTGGAGCGTGGAGACAATGGCCTGCCGCCGCTGGGGCATACGGAGCTGCCGACATGTCCTGTCTGCCTGGAGCGCATGGACGAAAGCGTCGATGGCGTGCTGACCATACTCTGTAATCATGCCTTTCACGCCAGCTGCCTGATGAAGTGGGGCGATTCCACGTGCCCGGTGTGCCGTCATGTGCAAACCCCCGAGCTGATCGAGGACTCGGTGTGCATGGAGTGCGAAGGCACCGATTCCCTGTGGATCTGTTTGATCTGTGGCCACGTCGGCTGTGGGCGCTATCAGGGCGGCCATGCAGCCGCTCATTATCGTGCCACCAATCACACCTTTGCCATGCAGCTGGGCACCTCGAGCGTATGGGATTACGCTGGCGATAATTTCGTGCATCGCCTGTTCCAAAATAAATCCGATGGCAAGCTGGTTGCTTCACAAACCGAGAAGGATGAGCGCGAGGAGAAAATCGATTCCATGCAAATGGAGTTCACTTATCTGCTGACCTCGCAGCTGGACACACAGCGCAAATATTATGAGGAGCGCATGGAACGTTTGGAGCAGGAGTGGCAAACTTTTAAGGTGGATGCCAATGAGGCAAAAACGGAGATAACTGAGCTGCAGCAGCTGCAACAGAGCATGCAGAAGGAGAAGCTGAGTCTGGAACGTAAGCTGGCGCATCATGCAACCAAGTGAGTAATCACATAGCCCGCTGTGAGATAATCTTATTCAATTTTATTACTTTGCATCGGCAGAATGAAGGAGATGATAAAACAGCTGACGGAAGAGCGCGAGTTGTCCAAAGCCTTGCAGAACAATCAGTCGTCGTGGCATCAGAAATACAAGAATCTAGAGGTGCAGTACAATGAGTTCAAGCACAGTCACGACAAGGAGGTCACCGATCTCAAGGAGCAGCTGCGCGACGTCATGTTCTTTCTGGACACACAACAGAAGATGGCCAACACGGAGCTGTCGGGCTCCACCATCACCGGCGTTATGGACAAGGATCCGCCGAGCAGCTCGCGTCGCGGCAACCGTCGCAATAAATAGTCGTCTACAGTTTTTTATTTAAGAGTTTGCGTTCGAAATCGTTTCAAAATAAACTGGTCGCTGCATTTTAAAGCACATCTAAATAAATTCGAATTTATGTTGCAAGTAATCCTATGCCTAAAATGAACTAAATGTCTAGTTATGATCTGAGAATGCAACAACATCCAACAACAAGAAAAACTCTATATGTGATTTCCTTTGTGAAGCAAAATGCTATAACATATATATATTTATCCAATATGATTAAATGCTAATATATACTTATTTTCATATTCATTTGTAAGCATCTCTACTATCCGAGTGTATTGTGTATTGCTATTCATTAAAAATAAACCATAAACATTAATGTGTGTTGTGATAAATCGAATAAAGTTTGTGAAATATGCTCATCTTTTTTTAGACCATTGCAGTTGGTCAGAAAATAAGTCAGTGAAAAGTTCGGTGAATGTGCAAGAAAATATCGTGCTTATGATTTATAATCAACTGGAAGTCATTTGATTTTATGAAAGCTATTTGTCTGAATTGCATCCGTAGTACATCCATAAAAGCTATCGATAAAATACTAAGTTCTGGTAAAAAATATTTAAATAAACAAAAATGGAACTTATAAATCATACAGCTCAAAAATGAATCAATCGATTTATACAAAATACTAAAGAAATATTTAACTAAATGAATTCAAAACAATACCTAACAGAAAGCTTATAATTCAAGGGCAATCTTTGCCTACATCAGCTCTTCAATATAGTACTTTCATCGATTACCAAATCCTTAAAACATTTTGTCTTTAACCAGAGAACTTTGCTTAATACAAGAAAATCCGGAAAATATTCACTTTTAGAAACCAAATATGATTAGCATATTTCAAATGGATTTTAAATAATTTTAATATATTCTTGAATATGTAAACAAATTAATTTTTTTATAGAAGCAATTACTGTGCTTTAGGACAATCGGTGTCACAGTGATATGTTGGATCCGGCAGCTCCTTTGAGTGGACGTCTTCGGGATCCTCGAACAGATTTAGCTTCTTTTTAACCTCCTGCTCATTGTGCTCGACATTCATGAGATAGCCCGCGATGAATCCGTACATGTCCTGCGGCATATGAAGATGGAGCTGGGCGAATGCGGCCACCAGAGTCTTGCCCATCTTCTCCTTCATCTCTTTGGCAACGGCTTCGACTGCTTCCATACTTTTGCCCTGCGGCACCCATTCGTAGTCCTTGAAGCAACAGCACTCACAGTACACATTCGGATCGGAATCCTGCAGCAGTTTGAAGAAGGGCTGCAATTGGGATTCGCACTGCTTTAGATTGGCCACCTCTTTGACGAATCTCTTGTGCATCTCGCAAATATCACGCTCGCAGCGATGAATAACCTGCTGATCCTGTGACAGCGTTGCCGTGCGCTTAATGTAATCCACGGTGTTCTCGTGAAAGGATCGAAACTTGCACTTCTCCTCGCCGTAGGCCTGCAGGCACTGCCTGCCATACAGGATAATGCTGTCCCGTCGCATGCGTATCTCCTCGCAGCGTTTTGTATAGATGTGCTTCACCTCGTCCAGATCGATAATGCGCTTTGTATACTCGGTTAGATCCTCGTCCACATCACATAATTGATTCTTTCGCAAGTGTTTAGCCTTTACGTCGGCGCACTCCTCGTGGGCCTTCTCAATTTTTCGTAGCTCCTCCTTGAGCTCCAGCTGAATGTTTCTGAGTTCTGTGTTCAAACGCTTCACATCCTGATCGTTGCAGATTAGCGTGTTGAGCATCTCTTTCAGACAATTCTTGTGCGGATTGGGCAACTCATCCGGACAAGCAGTAAACATTTTGATTTTTGGAAAAAATAATATACGAGCAAGGAATAAGGGATGTAGATTATAAGATGAAATGATATATTTTTATGTGAATAGCAATAAGACAAAATTTTGCTCTGTATTTTTTCTTGACTGCTTTGATTTTTGAAAGGTAAAATGAAAAAGAAAGTAGGTCTGAGCAATGCTTATTACAAAATTTAACCAAGAATCAAAAATGAATTCAACATATTTGCTTATTAATTTCGAAAGCTGATTCGGTTGCGATTCTTTATTACCGGTTTGACTAGAAACCGAATCTTCACTTAAATTAAATATGATGGCAAAGACAGTGGTCGCTTGATAATTCAAATTTGACGTTTCAACGATGTGAATAAGTTTAGCCAACAAAAAAATACATTTAAAAATATATTAAATCGATTTTACTGCTTTTAATGTAATTGATTGATTGGACACTGCCATAGACTATGGTTGTCATGAACTCAAAATAGTTTAAAAAGAAGAAACACTAAAAAATATTGTCTTTATTATAAATATCTAGTGTGTTAAAATTACGACCATTATTTTCGGATTTCCGAGTGACTACTGTATTTATAAAACAAAGCACAAGAATTAGTCTCTAACAAAGTTTTTAATGGCCGTATTTTCCCCTGCCCTTCCGCTCAGCATCCATCAACTGGTATTCAATCAATCATTTATTGTAATTAATTTATTTTTTTCTTTTTTGGTATGCTTGCCAGCAATTTTAGCTGTCGTTTGTCCATTTTGCTTACAAGCGCAACTTTAAACGCGCTGATTTTTTAATCTATTGAAGCGCAGCTCTCTTCACTCTCCCCTCCACTCCTAAAGATGCCCTGCTCTGCAGACCCCTCACAAAATATGAACCCGTCAAAAATTAAGTTTGGCACAAGTTAACCAGTTTGGTGTGAGGTCAGTCAGATCGATTTGTTTATATGCATGTCTGTCCATCTCCAGTCAATTCCCGGGTCGTCAGGTTGCTTCATCTGGGGTCTGTAATTATTTAAAATTAATTAATTTTAATCATAAAAATACAGCTGTTTGATACGAACATTCGCAGCTTTGTGCATACTTATTAAATGTTTGTATTTTGTCAATTTTTAGCGACTGTATAATTTTTGCATATTTTATTTTTGACTTTGCTAATTAATTTAATAGAGTTTGATGGATTTTTATATTGTTATCTCTTGATGTCATATTGTCTGATTGTTTCTGCTAGATGACTTTGGAATGCTTGTATACAACAAGCCTTGTATGTTGTCACATTGAGTCTCTAGATGACTTTGGAAACTTTTTATATAAAAAGGGCACATCTATTAATCTAAATCGTTTGGAGCCCCGTTAAAATTGAAAAAAAAATACAAAATTGTGTATAAGAAAAGTTAGAGATCTTCTTATAATTAATAATACTTCATCCATCTTCTTTATTGTAAAACAAAGATAGTAGAATCTGTTCATCTGCTTTCTCAATGAATGATGTTTTAAAAATAATCTAAAGCGGGTCTTCGTCAGTCCCAATTTAAAGTCAGTCCAATTAGACCAACCAAATAATATATTTTATTTAAATTAAGAATAGACTATATTCTCGATATAATATTGCGCAAAAAATAACCTAAAATATATCAAAATAGAGTCTCCGTATGTTAAACGCAAAGCATTTTTATCATTGAATATTTTTTTATCTAAATAAAATTAAGATAAATTCTGTGACTTTTAAAACATAAAATTAACACTGATGTTTACAACTAAAAGCTTTGATTTATTACAATCAATTTAACTATTAAAAGTTTAAATATGCTTGCAGGCTCCAAGTCAAGTTTTCTTTTTTTTTTAAGATTTAAAGTTCATAATTCTCTCAGTCTGAATTATGAGTTCCAGTTTACATTTCTTTAAATTTGTTAAAAACTCATCATTTTCTCTATCCGAAAAAAATGGTGAGTAAAGCGCAGCTGCTTCGTTTTATTTTATTTGCCGTCCTTGGAGATGGAAATAAATTATAATAATTAGAATTATTGAACATGACTAATGAACAAATATTGATTTAAAACTTTTACAATGCGCACAAAACATTCACAAAGACTGAATATGTAAAATAGATAAACAAATAGCAACCCAATGCGTTTTCAAAAGGAGGACACAAGCCGCACAATATTCCTTTCTTATCCCCGGATAGCTTTGTCCACAGCCTGCGGCTGACTCCTTGCGTTGATTTGCATAGATGTCCTACCTACAAGCTAAAAAGGTTACGTGGCAGATGACTCAGTCAGGCAGCGATCTAGAAAAATATTAAGCAAATTCGTAATGGAAACTTGTTGTAAGAATTCGATTTAGTATATTAAATGGATGCGGGCTGCTTTTAATTAAAGCATGTAATGGATTCGACTTTGACTCGACTGACATTTTATATGGGCCTTTGCAACGCATTAAGAAAATATTTGAATAATTTGCGTATTTTTCTATTTGAAAGAACATTTTTTTTCTTTTTTTTTTATAGGAGAAATGAAAAATGATGCTGACCCTGACGCACCCTTGACAAAAGGACTTGATCAAATATGCAAATGGGCTGGAGGAGCGGACGCTCGTTGAGCAAACGGGATGCACAGATATCCTGGGCGAGGATTACGCTGTTCAACCCTTCTTCTGCAGCCGCGTCCGATCCGCGAACGTGTCGTGCATAAATTAAGCGCTTTTTATCCTATTGTGTGCTCACCCTTTTGCTGAGCTGCTTCTTAAGCATTTCTTAGCGCGTCCGCATGGAAATGAGGCAAAAAAATCCGGATTTTTTTTGTAGCTGTCTTCCTTATGCGTGTGTGTGTGTGTGTGAGACGTTCATCTATTATCCTTGATCGTCACCCAGACCTGTGGGTAGTCTTAGCCCTGAGACTTGAACGTAGAAAAAAAAGAAAGAAAAAAAATCGTGAGAAAATTTCCAGCGCCAAATATTCAAATGAGCTTCTAAAGGCCGCCCGTTGCATACTTTTTTGGATGAACGTTTTTTTTTTTTCGCTGTCCTCGCTTAAAAAAAATCATCAGGCTGCGAGCGCATCCTTGCTGCATGAGCCTTTTATTCAGCTCGTCAATTTTTTTAACCCATTTTTTTAAGGTTGCATTTTTTATGCTTGACTACAAAAAAAAAGTCGTTTATAATTGGGTCTCGTTTTTTAGCGCGGGTTTTTTTTTCCACAGGAGACCTTTTGTACATATGTTAAAATGCTGTGTGACAAGTTTTTTTTACATTTTATTTGGGCTTGTGAATGAGTATTGTTAATTCGTTACTGTAAATTTTTAGATTCTGACGTTTTTTTTCTTGTGGAGTCTTTAAACCTTTTTACAATAGAATTTTTTTTTATATTTATACGTTTTTTTTTTGCCCCAAAGGATAGCGTGAAAATGTTAATTAAATTTATGTTAGTGCGTCATTTTTGTTGCTTTCAAAACAGGATTACAAATTGCGTAGTTTTCCTTCGAGTTAGATGAACACGTGCTTTGGATTGTGTTTTTAAGTGGCTCTCTAAAGGGATATGTTTGTTAAAAAAAATGTCGCTGGTTAAATGGGTTTTATTGTTTTTGTAAATATTTGCATATTGTCCAAAGTAAGGGTAAAATTAAAAAAAATTATGAGTTTTTAAAAATTAATGAGAAGTACTTTTGAAAAGTTCACGCTACTCTTTAGTGAAAATATAATAAATAAAAAAATAGCAATAATAATTTAAGACAAATTTTTAATTCAAATTTGATCAAGTCTTTTAAAGGCTATGCAGTTTCATATTTTACAAAATTCATTTATTGTTGAGTAAAGAGTTAAAGAGCGTATAAGAGTAAGTATAAGAAAAATTATTCAAATCTTCAAATTATCTTCTTTTTAAATGATATTAGTTATGGAGCGTTGATTACAATAATTTGAAACAATTTGCATACATTATTAATAAATACGCTCACCTTAAAAATGAGTTGAAATTTGACAAATCAACTTTATGAGACTGGGAATGGAGCAATAAATTAAATTCTTTTTTATACTCAAAAATATGTAATTAAGTGTTTTGCTTTCTCGCAATCTGCTATGTGTATGTTAAATGTGCAAAAAACTGAGTTAAAAGTTAAATTTATGTTTGTATTCGTATCATAAATAGTTTACTTTAATGCCACTCAGCTTATTTATTCGCAAGAGAACGTCAGAGCCTACAAGATATCGTCAGTCAGCGATCAGCGTCAATAAAGTGCTAATCGATGCGAATTAACATCAAACCCATAATTAAACGTCTACAAATTTGGCAATTTGACAAAATATAGAAAAGCATCAATAACATACCAATCGAAAAGATAATCAGTTGGGGGAAACTCTATGCCAATAAACTCCGCACAATGCCACAAAAAAAAACCTCAGCAATTAAACCCATTGTGTAGACAAGGTGCATTCGAAATCGGAAGGCAAACACAAAGTGTGCAAAAACCGAATCAAAATGGAAGGGTGCAAAATATAATAATAGACGAAAATCGCATCAAATTTCACAATATCGCACCTTATTAGAATCGAACAATGCGCTGAATGGCGAAGCTACAAATGGAGATGAGGCCAACAAAGGTATTCGTGAAACCAATATGCAAAAATTGCTAAAGAATGGAAGATCGCTAAATGCCGCCAGTTGTGGTAGTAGAATGACAACAAAAAAGGCGCACACAGCCAACAAGAAGTTATGGGAAAAACATACACACCTCTCCTCTGAAAACTGAACCGAGCTAATCGGAACACCCCACTCAATACATATTGTGCGCATTGTGTAATAATTTCATAAATAGTTTATCCATAAGAATCGCTGAATGGCGACTAAATGCTTTTGCGAAAATGCACGGGTTACATTTTACACGCATATAGTCAGAAAAAAAAAGGGCTTCACACGCCGCAGCATCGAACCAGAGTCCCTTTTCTTATGCTAAACTCACATCTGAAGGCGTTTTGTGATCTGAGGGGTTGTGCAACCCCCGAGCACCCCTGAGTGAATACCCACTCGGATCATCATCGGCCCAAGCAATTCTGTGTGTTTTGATTATGTCTGGAGTTTAGAAACCATAAATCTATTGATGGCATTGATGCCGCCTTTCTACAGCATCAAATTATCTTTTGGCATTGAAATCACACATACAGCATATTTAAATCATTGTAATTTTCATTTGCATATTGCCTTAGGACACAAAGATGCGCTGGAGGGCGACTCTTGTGACCATAAGTTGGTATTTTTCTTCTTTCTTTTTTTTTTGTTAACAATTTGGAAGTTTAGAAGTAGGGTTTTCGTATATTCCTTTACTTGCTTAATAAGAAAAGATTAACATTTTTAATAAAATCCTTTCTTTATTTACTAGCGTTTATATTAGCAAGTTCTTTAATTTCTATAAATTTTCTTTATAACATCTTTTTACATGCTGCTTTCACTTACTTTTTATACTCAATTCATTTTACTTTTTTATGGGACTTCTTCCTGCTTCTTGTATTTCCCAGCTAGTATCCCTTTTTTACTGCAGTTTAATGTCTCTGCCTCTAGGCAGATGCCTCTCATTTTTTGTCAACTTACTTTCCAATGTGACCTCAGGCATTGCATTCTAATTATCATATCGATCATGCCAGTGGCTCAAAAACAAAAAAAGTGACAGTGAGCGTAAGGATCCTGTGCCAGGATAGATGCTCAGCTACACATACATATTTTTTTTTTCTCATAGTTAACATAACAAAGGCTGATGATGCACACAGAAGAAAAGTAAAGAGGAACAGCTTCGTGATGATTTCAGCACCCAACATGACATGACAGTCCAAACCCGAATCTGACAAAGGGCCACCCCAGAAACTGTGAGATCAGGTAAACAAAGATAGCAGAGCCAAACAATCCCATGATCATTAGTGCATTTATAATAACGTATATTGATATGCTAATCAATGACTAAGCAGTCGCATATTCAAACTTATCTACGACCCAAGTCGAATGCTTCGCTGCGTTTATGATCGATGCGATCTCAAGGTAGTAGCAGCAAAAATCAAATAATTTATCAATTAAATTATTGGCAAACATTGCGTAGCGCCCTCGATATAAAGAGATCTCACTTCAGCAGCTAAAGAGAGAGATAGAGAAAGTGAGATAGGGTTGCATAAACAATTGGCAAATTTCCCTTTCTACTACCACATTGGCACAATGGCCAAAAACTGCCAAATGATCGATTATCAATCGGTATTATTGTCTTTGTCTGACGATCTTTGTTTCGGTTTTGGCGAAGTTGTGCTCTGCGGTGTGTTGCCAATTCTGTCGGTTCGCTCTTTTGTGTGCCGATCTTTGACGGGTTTAGCGATGATTTGTTGGTTTATTGCCAGCAATCCTTAAAGTAGGGTTGTTGTGTTGCAAAAAAAAAGCAGAAAAAAGGATGCTAAGGATCGCTGAGGATCACTCGTGCCGAAATGCTTCACAAATATCCTTAAATTTCATTGTTTTCATTGCAAGGCCTTGTTGACAAACAGACAATTGCCGAAACCCTTTTAGGTCCTTTTGCAATTTTAAGTTGTGCGTTTCATTGACTCCTTGTGGGTGCCCATTGTTTCCATTCAATTGCCAGAGGATGTTCGGCCGTTTACCCAAATTTAACGACCCCATCAGAGAAGCTTACTTTTATGGGCCCTATTAAAATATCATAAAATTCGTTGTTTCGCTCATTTTATTGCATGTTTGTTTTTATTTGCCCGTCTTTATATATGTTTAACACAATTTGCTGTTATTAATAATGGTATTCAAACGCTCGCAACAGACGCTGACTCAAAACACCTGTTAAGAATTTGGAACTGGTTTTTGATGGTTTAGCGGTTTTTCTTTTCTTTTTTTATTTATTCTTTTTTTTGTTGTTGCTGTACGGATTTACTTTTTGTTTTTGCTTATTAATTTGGCATGAAATTAATTTATTGTGAAATGTGTAGTTGCTTGTATAAAATGCATATATATATACTTATTTATAAATTAAGCTTAATATAAGCATTATAGATAATTAGTAGACTTGTTTTCCATATCTCTTATATATTCACAAAACTTATATAAACATATAAATTGCCTAATTTTTCTTCCATTCTATTTTACAATTAAAGCCAGCTATGCTCGGCAAGCAAAATCTCAAAGTTTTTAAGCTCGAGAACCTTTTGATGTACTCATTTTTGAAGTGGACACTTCTATCCATAAGTAGAAATTCGTGATGTGCTTAGTAGACTTTAAAAGCAGATGATTGTAGCTACGAAAAAAAAGACTTCATATACATGAGCCAAATATGAAAAATAAATATAAAACCGCTTTCTTTGGGGTGCAGAATTCGAAATACCCTCCCAGATTGTGAATATTACACAGTAAAATATATCAAATCTAGAAGTTAGATATAACAATCATTCAGATATAATAACCATAAATTGATAATAAATGATAATATTAAAACATCAGAATTATATTTACTAAATCAAGAGATATGCCCCTTTTAAAGAGTATCTCATTAGGTGAGTAACACAAAAGCCAAAACAAAACAAAAAAACGAATATTAATTTTCATGAATTTTACTGCATTATTAATTCGCACATCCGTTTCAAAGTTTGTGCTACTCGTATAGTGTAATATCTAAATTTAACTTAATGGCACTGGTCACATATCCAAATTATTCTTAATCAAGCAAATCCATCAATAATCTTCAACTGCGACAGCGAGCAGCAACAGCAGCTGTTCCCAATTAAGATTGGTGTTTGAATACATCTTGGTGTCGGTTGAACTGAGGGATAGAATCGCTGCCTGGATGCATTCCTAAGTACATAAATCTCCTGTGTCGCCTTCTGCATATTCAATACGAAGGACTTTTTCTACGTGTCCTTTTGATCAACATAAGCGGATTACGTGCACTTTTTCTACATCGTTGCATCTTTTGATTCTTCAACGGTGATAAAATGTGTGTCCTGCGGTTGCCAAATTATTTAGAAACAGTCGACAAAAATGCATTAAGAATCCATAGTGTAATACTTTATAAATATTTTCCAATTTTTATTCATTATTTTTTTATTTTATTTTTATACATTGTTTTGCTTTAAATAAACTTCGGCCGTCAACTCTGCTTCCAAGTCGCATAAATATATAAAAAGTCCTTATTCAATATTGATACGAGTTTTTAGCTTAATTTAATTAGATACAAATTTGATGATTGTATTAACTACGTTGATACGTTGACTTGTACGTATGTACAATTGTGTGTGTATACAGAACTATCGCAGTACTTTGTACGGCACCTATGATACTCTATATTATAGGTTGTTGTACAGACTTAAGATGCATAATATGTGACCAAAAACTGTAAACCACACAAAATATCAAGTGGTTTAGAGCTTTTTTTCTCGTGATTTATCCTCCCATTGTAAATATTGCTTAAAAGTTATAGATTTGTGTTAAAAGCTAAATTGAAAAGTCCTGAGTTGTGTTTGGATAAACATAGTCCAAACGGAGGCTGCGGTGTATAGAGCTGCTGTCAATACCTGGTTTAACTATGGTCTTTTTTGTTTCGTGTGAGGCAGTGCTGAGAGGGTTAATGGAATTTGTGAAAATGCATCAATGTAGCACAGCACAGTATTTTGGCATCATAATCAGGTTGCACACTTTGCTATGCTGTGCTACATCAAGGATGGCAAGTAACCAAATCGTTGACAGTACATCGCATTTAGCCTCGTCCTAAACTAAAGCTAACTTACTAGCAAACTTAAGCCTATTGTTGTCATCGTAGCTGTTGCTCTTTTGGCTGCCTTTTGTGGGCGGCAGTGGCCCGATACTATTGCGCCTTTTCCTTGGACATGGCACTGAGGCCGAGCGCCAAATGATCGCTGGGAATGAGCCCAGCCCCGGGCTGATGGGCATAGTTGCGAATCTGATGCAGCGAGATTAGTTGCGTGGGAAACGCTGCAGCGGCGGCAGCGGCATTCTGCTGGTAAAGATAAGCGGCGGTAGCTGAAGGCGGCCCACGATGCTGCTGTAGATGCGAAGGGGGCGGGCCAACGCTCGCACTCAGCGGTGTAAAGGCAGAGGAGCCGGGTCCGGGTGAATGCGAATGGGCCGCCTGCTGTTGTTGCTGCTGCTGGTGTTGTTGTTGCTGCTGCTGCTGTTGTTGTTGCTGCTGCTGCTGCTGGAGATGATGTTGTGGAGTGGTTTGACGCAACACCAAATCCTCACCGGCCTCATCGTGCGGACTATGCGAATGACCAGGCGTTTCGCCACCGCCGTTGGCCAAGCGCTGATGATGCTGCTGCAGCAGCTCCTGCTGCTGATGTTGCTGCTGCTGATGCTGCTGGAGTGTTGCAAAGTTGGCATACGTGGTGCCGTTAGCCTGCGGCAGCTGCTGTTGTATAGCCTCCGCTAGAGTGGCGGCGGCGCTATCCGCGCCCATTTTAGCCCAATACACGGCATTGGCATCGCTCATGGCCTGACGCTGCAGATTCAGTCCAATGCCGCCGGCGGGCACATGCTGCTGCAGATTGGCAACGGCTGGTGCCGTGTGTCGTTGCTGCTGTTTTTCCGCCTTCTCGGCGTGCTTCTGCAGATGCTTTTGGAGATAGGTCTCCTGCGTGTAGGACTTGCCGCACAGCTGACAGATGTGCGTCTTCAGATGCTTCGAGTCCTTGTGCTTGGGTATGTGCTCGAGCAGCGTCACCTCATCGCCAAAGCACTTGTAGCACGAGTTGCATTTGAAGGGTTTGTCCGTCTGATGGCATCGCGAATGCGACTGCAAATTCGACAGCTGTGAGAAGGCCTTGGGGCAGCCGGCATGCCGGCACTTGTACGGCTTATCGCCCGTATGGGTGCGTATGTGCTGCTGTAGGTGCGACAATTGGGTGAACTTGCGCTGACAGATCTCGCAGCGGTACGGCTTGATGCCCAAATGGATGCGAGTGTGCTGCGACAGATACGATGAGTTGGCAAACGATTTGCTGCATGATCCGCACTTGTACGGCTTTGTCTGTTCCCCCTGGCGCTGATCCTCCGGCGATGAGCCGTTGCTGCCATTGCTGCCCTGCTGACGCGATGGCGATCGACTCGGATCATACTGGAATGATGTGAATTAATAGAACTGCAATTAGTATTTTGTTGTTTCATTTAACTTTAAATTGTTTACCTACATTTAACTAATAACAGCTATTAATTTGGATTTCGGGATAGAGATTGAAAAGAATGACGCCATCGACAACACAATTTATTATGCAGTGATCGCTTATATAGTTTTCAGTTTCAGTTTTAATTAATTTTCCGATCCAGTTTCAAGCTTATAAAATAATATCTATATATACAACTGTTTTATATTCATTTCAAATTTGTATAGCTAATAAGTCAGTAATAAAAACTTTGACCGTTTAAAAGTATTGTTAAACAAAACATACAAAGCCCAAAATGTTTTGAGTTTTTTGGGTTACAAAAATCCTGTACTCAAAAGACTACAAATAAAGTATTTTTTACATGTAAAATTAAATATTCCAATTTATAACTCCTTATACATATACTTTTGGAGGAAGGTATTCACTCTCTAAAATAATTTGTAATTTGTTCTTTGGAAAAATTATATTGAAAATATCGAGTCTAGTTTCCGGAAGTATTTAGCTTTGATAACTGAATGAAATGAGAAGAACTTGGAAAAATAATGGACTATACATTTGATATCCATAAAAATAGTTGTAGTTCTATTACAATTTCAAAAATATATCATAGCCCAGATAGATTAATAGACTGATTTCAAATTTGATATAATCTTATACTCCTTAGAGAGGCGTACTCACTTTCTGCTCCTGCTGCTCGCTGAGCTGTGTCGGCGTTGGTGGCGAACTGGGCGCACTATAGTTGCCCTTTAGCTGCGGCTGATGATGCAACTGCTGCTGCTGCTGTTGCGGCTGCTGAGATTGCTGTTGCTGCTGCTGCTGCTGTTGCTGTTGGTCGGGATCATGCTGATGCGTTGGCTGATGCTGTTCGACAAGTATTTGCTGCTGCTGGACGAGACCGTTCTTCAGGGAGTAGTCCAGACGCTCAACGTTCTGGCGGAACTCGCTGATGTTGAAGGGCTTGTAATCGTGGACCAGCTGCGCAGTGCGCAGATCCGCCTGCGTCAGATGGCTGAGTGTGCGCAGCTGGTCGATGGAACGATGCAGATAATCGCCACCAGCGCCGAGGGCAGCGCCGTTTGGCGTTGTAGGCAGCTCGGCCATAAGCGGCTGCCCGCCCAGGTTCAGCGGTCGATAGGCGATAGTCCGTGCGTCCAGATTGCTGCCTTCTTTCGACCACTAGTTATATATGAGTATATACGGTGGTAAGCGGCAGGCAGCAAGCGGGAGAGCAGGCAGCGGAACCGAGCTGTGCAACGATCGTGGCTAAAATGAGTGCGATTGACGTGCTTTTTTGGTGCTCCAAGTGTCAATTTACTTGGCCCAGCAGCGGCTTACACAACTTCTTCTTCTGCTGTCTTTTTTTTTTTTTTCTTTTTTCTTTTAATGACAGTTTGTGCTGAAAATACAGAAATATTGTAATTGTTATTTAGGCTTCCGTCGCTTTGGGCGCAAATTTCTGTAGAGTCGACAGAACTTATAAACTACTTTTTCCATTTGCTTTCGATTTTTTTAAAACATATTCATACATACATAAATGTATAAAATTATTTTTTCTACTTTTTGTACATACATTTCAGCATTTTAACATAAATGTGCATGAATTAATTAATTGTTTATGAATTAAACGTGCAATAAGTAAAACAAAAGTCGTTGCAAGCAAAGCAACAAAAAACTCAAGAATTGCACTAAAAAACAATGCCAAAAAAAAACACAAATAAAAAAATAAAAAAGGCGCTTATGAGCAGCAAAAAAAAAGTCGATGTGACAACACAACATTTTAATTAAATAAAAAAAAAATTACCTCTGCTTTTTTTCTTTTAAAATTTGTATGCAATTTATCAAGCGAAACTTGAGGCAAGCTGAGGAGCGAGCAGAGTGGAGCAGAGCGAGAAAGGCCAGCAGAGAATCAGGGGCGCCAGAGGAACGTGTCAATCACCTCGAATCGAAGAACAAAACTAAACGAAAATGGGGCAACTTGCTAATCTGCCAGATGAACCTTAAAATATACTGAGGAATGAAAACATGGCTACATGTATATACGGATCGGATTAGGAATTCATTTAAGAACTGAGTGGAAACAGAAATTGCTACATTTTATGTTACGAGTAAAATTAAATAATCCGTTAAAATTGAATGGACAGAATTTGGAAACTGCAAGGAAGCAGATTCTAATCATATTTGAACTACCTTTACATCGGAAGTAAGAAATATGAAAGCCGACATAGTTAATAGTTAAATTTAAAAAAAAATCTAATTGATATGCAGAGTCAACTGGAATCACACCGATTCAATAAAATACTATCATTATTCAATAAATCTTGACTTGTGAATAGCTCAACAAATTTGAAGTGTCATCCTATTAGCGTTAGTACAAATAATGAAATACAAAAAAAAAGAGAGGTTTGGGATAACTAAAATGGATAGATCTCTTTTTTGCTTTTTAGTACATAGAATATAGAAACCACTAAAATTTAACCCCTACAGTCCACAAATAATGCAATTCTAATTATTATAGATGATGTGTAATATTTTCTGCTCGAAATCGTATTTAAATTGCCATTATAACAACTTATATCATTTGGTATAAATTTTAATGAATCAATATTGGGCGTCATTAGCACTTAAATGGTTTGTTTTTATTTTATGGACAGTAAATCTATTGACAGTATTTCTATTTAGTGTCAAACGAATATCAAAGCAGAGATAAGAGTTGATAATACAAATGAAAAGGTAAAAGTGTAGGTTTGTTTGTAAATGATAAAATGTCATATCTATGTAAATGCATACAAGATATGTTCGATGTATATAGTTTTATAGTTTTAAAGCCTACATAAAATAACCAAAAAAAATTATCTGCATAATAAATGTATGTACGTGTGGAGTTTATCGACATAAATGTTGGTTTTATTCAGCATTATCTTTTAGGCACATTCTCAATACTTTCCCACTATTTATCCAAATACATTTATATATCTGTGTGTGTGTGTGTGTGCTCTCACTCGATAGCTTTATAATCCTTTGAGGGCAACGAAACTCACTGCTGACCCACAAACGAAAAAAATAAAGAAAAAAGAAACAAAACAGCAAGAGAATGAGTGAGAATTTGTAAACAAATACCTGTCACAGGTGTCTGTCTGCGGTGTTTCTCGATTTTTTACGTATGTTTTCATTATCAGTTTTTCCTACTCTTTGTTATTTATTTATTAGGAGTAAAAAAATTGAACACAGAAATCAATAATAAAAAAAAAACAAACCAAATTGGCGCGCGCCGCGTCGCAGCGGAGAATAAAACAAAATTGAGTTATTAGACACAGTGAGAGAGGGAGATAGACTGTGAGGGAGAGTGACCGGAGAGTGAGTGGTACACACGCACACGCACACACACACACACACATTAACGCATTGCGTAGCTGTGTTTTTTGTTGTTGTCGCTGCTGCTGCTGCGCAGTTGACGTCAGAAGCAAATTTGTTTTTTTTGTGTGTGTTTGGTTTGGTTTTTTCTTAAAACATTTTTTTATAGCTCGCTGGTCAAAAGAACCGGTTGTTGTTGTTGTTGTTGTTGTTGCGGCGGCTGCTGACGTCGGTCCGTCAGCAAGGGCAGCGGGGAGAAGGGGACAAAAACGCAGGATGCTCTGACAGCTTGTTGAGTGTGCAAAAGAGTGTATAAATAATTGTAAATAAAAAAAATAAATAAAAAAAAATGATAATTCCAGTTGTGTCGATGAGATATAAATGTAAAACGCAAATGAGACTGTCAGTTGAAGTTAATTTTCATATTTATTGAAAGTAGCGTCAAACAAATAAACACACTAATAAAACACTCATACACACACATACAAATACATATGTTGGTACTCATGTTGTACAAGTAAAGACGGGAATCACTCGGCCGGCCCCAAAAGCATGCCAACGCCAACGTTGCTCTGTTCAGAAGCATACACATGTACATACATAAAAAATGGTATACACAAAAAAAATTCACTGAGCACACAAACACACTAGCACACACACACACACACTAGCACACATAAAGTACAAAAAACGAATCAACGAAAATTAATTGAGCGCAAGCAACGACCGCAGCTGAGCAGCACATCTATCGGGAGAGAGCGAGTGAGTGAGCAACATAAACAAATGAAGAGCCGGACAGAAGCATGCTACAACAAAAAAAAGAAAGAAAAAAAGAGTAACCAAATACAAACATGTAGTGCAAAGCAAATAAACGACAAAAGGCTAGCGGGGGCGACATGTGCAAAATACAAGAAAAAAAATTCTGCGAGAGTAAAAAACAGTGGAGATAAAAAAAGACGACACACAAACCAAACCGCCACCGAATGAATGGCACATAAAGAAGTCAAGCAATGACCAGGGACGAGTGGTGGTGGGTAAATATTGCCAGTCGTCGTCGGTGCACACTGTGGCAATTTTGTTTGAAATTGTCAGTTTATTGATTTCGATTTAAGTTCGGAAGTAATTTAACTATGCAAACAAAATGTGTAATATAAAGATTCCTTTAATTTCCATAGACTTATTTCTTTGGTGTATTAAGTTTTTTGATTGCAACTTAATAAATAAAGAAAAAGATAGGAAGCTAATAATTCAGAATATCATAAATAGCTACCATTAGTTTTGATAAATGGCATTATTGACTTTCACATTTCCCAGTTAATATTTGACCACTGTTAGCGGGTGCAAAAAACTATTTGCCCAATAAAGTACAAATAAAACATACTTTGAAGTACCAACCAATTATAAATAGCTCTTGTTATTATTGTCGTGTGCTTTGTTTTGTTGGCTTTCTGTGCGCTGTCCTTTTCTATTTTGCGTAGTAGTAAAAGTAAAAGCACGTGTTCTGTGACCTATTATGATCGTGGGGAGGATGGAGGGGGTAGATGGTGTTCAAATTTTCGCTTCAACTCCTGTTCTCCTTTCACAACACTTTTTTTTGTGCTTTTATGTTTTCACTTTTTGGCAGGCATGCGTGGGTGGCAGAATGGCAAGACTTGTGTGGCTTTTGCATTTATACATATATTTTTACGTTTGTTTACATTCAGCGATTTACTCACATTATTACCTACATCTTTTGGAAAATAACTCACTTTTTGTCGTTGTAGTTGTTAAATTTTGTCTATTTATGCTTTTTAAGGTTTCTCCTCTTTCGAATTTTGAGTACACTAAGCACACACAGAAACACACACATATACAATTAAAGACTTGAGTGCTAAGGAAAAAAATGGCCGCGCACGTCAAAAATATATATGTACACACACCAACACACTCGTTTTTTTTTTTTTTTTTGCACTTGTGCTGCCCTCTTTTTATACAAAATTTGGCGCGACTTAATTTTGGCGCCTTGATTAATTGCAAATGCTGGGAGGGGGAAGGGAGACGCGCGATTTACAGCGCGCTTTCGATTCGTTTCGTTTCTGGTGTGGGCTTCGTTTCGCCCCGCGTTGTTTACATGCCGTGCGTACGCGAACGACAAATCACAACGAAAAAAGCAAAATAGACAGGGTGTGAAGAAGAAGAACCGCTCGGTTCGATGGCAAAAACTCGACTGAAAAAAATCACTCAACTTTTTTCATGTCGTTGCGAACGACAAGCAGCTGTGAGCGTAGTGAGTATTTGTGTGGCTGTGTGTGCAAGCACTCTCACTCTGTCTCTCTCGCGCACGCTATAAAAAATGCTTGTTTATGTTTTTTATGTGTGTGTTTTTTGCCCACCACTGTTGCGTGCTTTGTCTCGCTCTTGCATTCTCTGCGCCTCTCTGGCTGTTTTATTCCGGTTTTTCTCTGATTGGTTGTGCTGTTTTTTCGGCCCTTCTTATACCCTGTATTTTTTATGCGAATTTGTGCGATTCACATTGTGTGGCATTCTGCATTTTGGTTAATTATAAAAATTACTAGTATAAAGACTTGTCATTATTTTAAGATATTATTTAATTAGAAAAAATCGGTCGACGGTAAGACTGTTATTCCAAATATGCAGCCTGTCAACATACATCTTTAGTTAAATTGTTATCCTCATATAAAGTCAAATTTTGTTGCCAATTGGCGCCAGGCACCACTTTCAATACATCGATATACAAATGTACGATAGCTGTTCACAGTTGTCAGCACTGACTTCCTTCAGAGTATAAGTGTTGTAAATCACTTGACTGCACAGCTGTTCTGCGCGTGCAATGTTATTGTTTTGCCGCCAAGAATTATTAATTTCTTCAATTTCTCTTGATTAAGTATGTCTGCACCATACCAAAGATTTCTTAAAGTACTTGAGAAGTGGCCAGCGGAGCAAACCAAAGTCGGCAGGTAAGTAATGGAAAACCAACACACACACATACACCAAAATAAATGTTTGTTTAGCTGTTTCTTGTTCATTTTGCGATTATCTAACAACAATTGCAGTTGCTGTGTTTTCTAGCCCAGTATTAGCTGAAAATGTGGCTGCGCATTAATTGGTGTAACTTTGATTTGTGTCCCAGCAACGCACTTCAGTTCTTATATATAATATCTTGACCAGAAATCGTTCAGTTGCCGGTTTTTTAAACGTTGAATTGGCCTGCTTAAACTATAATAATTGTGTTATAAGTAAACTAATTGTGCTCTAACATGTCTTCCAAGTACGCCTATCAGTCAATACCTGATTTTTTTTCTCCTTGATGACGAAGTTGAGCTGTAAGTGGTTAGCAAGCATTCTTCAAATGGCCCAAATTTGAAGAAATCCAATTTTCTTGTGACAAACTCGAAAGACTTTCTTAAAACTCAAGTCTTAAAACACAACGGGTTGACCTATGCATATGAAATGGTTTCTTAAGCAAACAAAGTGCTTCTGAGCTTTACAGCTTGAAGAAATCAGCTGTACTTTAAGGATTGCCTTCAATTATTTTCTCAATTTGCATGAGGTTTCTTTTCAATTACACATTGAAAAGCTTTATTTTAATTAAAGCTCATGTTTTCCAAATTTAAGAACTCTTACTGTTACAAATATAAGATTGCGATCCTTAATGTTATTCTGATAGATCCGGAGATGATATATTTATGAAGTATTAGTTTATTTTTGAAGTGCTAGATTAAAGTGGTTAAGAAAACAAATGATAAAAAGCGAGAATTAGAAAATTAATTAAAATTTAATATTCTAGAAGTGAACATGGTTCTATGTATCTACAAGTCTGTTTAGACTGAAAACAAATATATTATTTTTGATTGCGCAACTGCTTTCGTTTCATTATGTTCAGTAACTGACGATTTTGTGGCTAGTTTAAGGTTTCTGCGGAATTATTAACAATTGGATTTTGTTTGTTGTTAGTCAAATTTAAACGAATTCATAATAAGTTAGTTGAAAGGTTATTCAACTAATCTGCGCTAGGCTTTTCGATTCCATTAGATTTAGAATTGTTTGGAATTTGGAATTATATATTTTTTCTTCAAAATTTTGCTGCAACGAACATCAGAGCAGCAACACCAAAACTAAACAAAGTGCATATCGAAACAAAACACAAAAAATCGATTTAAACATTTCTCTCCCCAACCAACAAAGGGATCTGGGCGAGCAAATTCGCAAGCAAGTAACCCGACTGACAGACGCCAGCAGCCTGAGTAACGAGAAGACTGCTGAGCTCAACCGGCAAATTGACGCATTGGAGCGACTCTCGAAGAACGTCTACGCCAAGAAATATCCGCGTCGCTACGAATCGACGGCGACGGGTCTAACAGCCGCCCAGTGCAGCCAGGTGCTCAGCTCGGAGTTTCTGCAGTATCTGAACGATGGCAAGCGCAAGTAGGGCCAGCCACATGATGATCCAATTCCTGACTAGACTAAGACCAATCATAGCTGTACAACAACAAATAAGACACTGCACGGTGCCAGTAACGCCATCAACTCCAACGCCAACGCCGGTTGCAGCTCCACATGTGCCTGTGCTCTGTCAGACGGCAATTGAATATTTGGAGCCACGGCCAAAGGGAAAATACATTGATATGACCTTCGGTGCAGGTGGACATACGCGTCGCCTGCTCGACAGCTGTCCGGAGGCGACTGTTTATGCCTTGGATCGTGATCCCATTGCCTATGAGTTGGCGCAGCGTTTGAGCCAGGAGTCTGCGTATGCTGGACGATTGGTGCCGCTGCTCGGTAAATTCTCAGATTTGCCGCAGCTATTAACTGATCGCAATGTGCCGCGGCACAGTTTCGATGGCATACTCTTCGATTTCGGTTGCAGTTCGATGCAGTTTGATGAGGCTGCTCGTGGCTTCTCCATTGCACACAACGGGCCGCTGGACATGCGCATGGATTGTGGACGCAGTGGCGGTGTGAGTGCCGCCGATGTCCTTGCTCGCATTGAGGAAGCGGATTTGGCGCGCATACTGCGTGTCTATGGCGAGGAGAAGGCGGCCAAGAAAATCGCCCGTGCCATTGTGGAGGCACGCGGCGCACTGCAACGCATTGAGACAACCAGGCAGCTGGCGGAGCTTGTGGCCTCGGTGCTGGGCGATGGACAGCGGCAGGATAAACTGCAGAGGCCGGCGCATCTGGCGACGAAAACATTTCAAGCACTGCGCATCTTTGTCAACAACGAACTGAACGAGATCAACTATGGCATGCTGTTGGCGCAAGAGTATCTGCGTGCCCAGGGTCGATTGGTGGCCATCACATTTCATTCGCTGGAGGATACGATTGTCAAGCGTCACATCAATGGCAATGTAATCGAGGGTGTGGCAAATCCATTACCGCTTAAGTATTGCGGTCATGATATCACCCATGATCCAGCTCTTCTCGAATCCTTTGTGCAATCCAACTGGCAACAGCTGCATCGTCATGTCATTCTGCCCGATGCCACAGAGATCGCCAGCAATAGTCGCAGCCGGTCGGCCAAGTTGCGTGCCGCAATTAAAATTAAGTAATCATTACAACAATTTGTACACAATTCAGTCAGGAATAAAAATGTCTGCCATGCTTAACTGCAGATTTGTTTGTTTTGTTTTTCGAATTTGTTAATTTGTATGTCGATTCAGTTATTATTTTGCATGTTATCTGTTTACCAATTGACACCTTCTGATAAGGCACGTTTCGTTGTTTGGCTGCTGCTGCTGCTGCTGTTGTTCTTGTTTTTGTTGCTATTATTGCTTGTATTTCTAATGATATTTTTGTTGGCTTCGCACCAAATTTAGGCATTAATAGATTATGAAATCAGATAATGCACAGTGGTCAAGAAATTCTAAAATTAATTAATATCCAATGGTCAGTTTGTGATTTAAATAGCAGCTCAATTTAGCTCCTGCTCGGTATCTGAAAGCTCTGGCCTTAAAACCAACTCTGAATATTATATTGTAAATGTGAAACATATTTGAGTAATTTTATTTTATTTGCCTCTTAAATAATTTATTAAAATTGTGCTTGAACGTAGTCGACAAAATGCTTTAATTACTTTGCTCGATTGCTTATTGTTTAATTTTTAATCACAATCCCAATTCTTGTTATGTCATCAAGGTCACAAATTTAGTCCAAATGATTATTATTTTTTTCTAATTTTGCAAATTTTTGCTTTTTGCAAAAGCATTTAGTAATACCAAATTTTTGATTGCCCTTCAAAATTTGTTTCGCGAATTGCGAATTCTAAAAATTGAGTGTTTAAAATAAATTCGAAATTTAAAATATCTAAGAGGAGGGAAGATACTATGGTTAAATTACAGTCTCGCTGGTTCAAATCCTTTTGCCGACTAATGATGTATATGTATGTATATAAGATGAGCAAAATTTCCGACAGTCATTTGAAAACTAGAGTTTCCCAAAATAAAACTATATTAAGTGTAATAGATTTGAAGATAATTTAATGAATCTTGATGATTGTGAATGAGTATTGAATCTCCATATATTCAGACCACTAAATATTAATCATTTGGATTAATTGAATAAATATAGGGACAATATAATTTATGGAGCACAAGCGAGGATTATTTGCCAAATAATTATTTACTTGTTATGTAATAAATCTTAAATCTTAAATAAATCAAAACGGTTAAAAGATATATAGTGGAACTATTCATTTATTTTATGCTGAGATCAAATGGGTTAGACCTAAAATATATAGTCATACTTTTTTTTAAATAGTTATTATTTAAGACGTATTTCTGATGGGTATTCACCTTCCGCATGCCCAATCAATTTGTTTTCCCTTTCGTAACCGCATTTCAATGTAGTCAGCACAGCTCGCATGTCATGTTGCGGTCACAGCTCCTCGAGGAAAGTGATAAACAGCAGCATTTATAACCTGATGATGGTTGCATCTCGGCAAGATTCAGATAGTGACGAGTACGCGTAGTTGTTTATAATGGGGAGGTGCTGTGACCCTTGTGAAACCTGAAATCCGATAATCTGAAAATCGCTCGCGGGGCAACTGATAAGCGAGCGGTCGACGGGCGACGGGATTAATGTGCGATAGACACAACACACACACAACTACACACACCTAGAGCTATGGCAGTGGTTATGGCTATGGCAATAGCTATGAGGTATAGATAGGCCCGGCACGGCCGCTTGGAATTCAGTTGCATTGCGCGATCGTTGGCGTTGGTATCGAGACGCGGCCCTTATTCCGACCTAAAATTTATTGTGCGTTTTCACAGTGAGCGGAGCAGCGAACCGACCAGAAGCACGATGGAAGCGAAAATCATATCCGGCACGGCAATAGCCAAGTAAGTAGTTGCTTACAATTATATCCATATGTGATATATCAATGAGCATCGCCTCCAATCAGGCTTATTCACGAGGAGTTGCGCCTGAAGGTGAACGAGCTGCTGCAATCGGGACCACAATTTGTGCCCGGATTGCGGATCGTGCAGGTGGGTGGACGCGAGGACTCCGATGTCTACATTAGAATGAAGATCGAGGCAGCCAGGAAGATCGGCATCAGTGCCGTTCACATCAAGCTGCCACGCTCTATTTCCGAACTGGAGTTGCTCGATAAGGTAAGTTGATGACGCGTGTGAGTCTAACGATAATCAGCTGTTGGAAAAATGTCAAGATTAGATATTTTAAGAACCGAGAAACGAGAATAAATTTCCCTGTAGGGGCTACAGATGTGGTCGCTTCTAATGCGTTATATATTTAAAAAACAAATGTGAAATACTCTCAAGGTTATCGTCCAAAATAATTAGCACATTCACAAGACTTGAAATCGTTATTATATAATACATTTAAACAGCTGCGCGAGCTGAACGAAGATCCCCAGGTGCATGGCATCATTGTGCAGATGCCGCTGGACTGTGAGACGAACATCGATTCGCATCGCATCACGAATGCAGTTTCACCTGCCAAGGATGTGGATGGTCTCCACACAATGAACGAGGGACGTGTGGCTATTGGGGATTTGTGCACCGGTTTCGTGCCCTGCACACCAATGGGCTGCATGGAGCTGATCCGACGCACTGGCGTCGAAATTGCCGGTGCCAATGCCGTTGTTCTCGGTCGCAGCAAAATTTTGGGCACCCCCGCTGCCGAGCTGCTCAAATGGGCAAATGCCACGGTCACCGTTTGCCACTCGAAGACCCGCAACGTGGATGAGATAACACGCAGGGCGGACATTCTGCTGGTGGGCATTGGTGTGACGGAGATGGTCAAGGGTTCGTGGATAAAGCCCGGCGCTGTTGTCATCGATTGTGGCATGAATTTTAAGCCAGGTAAGTGAGTAGCTCGCTTTAAATGTGATTTCAATGTTGATTTCAATGGAATTGAATTCCATACCAATTCAACGAATTACATTTGAAGTAAAAATTGATATTAAATATTGTTGAGGCGTGAGTTTGGCATTAAATTGAGTTTATTTTCATTTATTCGGTTTGCATTTCGCAGCAGCTGTGTTTTTCTATTGCGCTCCGTAATTACTTATTTTCCATCGTGTTAATTTGAATTCTTTATTTATTCCTGTGCCCCAGCAAAATTTGATGACGTTTTGTTATATCGGTTTGCTGTAAAACACATAGTTGAACACTAATTATCTGTTAAATAACTAAATAAATAATATAATAATTATCTGTTAAGCAACTAGAAAAAAGTGCTTTAAATACAAATAGTAGTTCAAGTGCAACCTGTTTTTACTGATTCTATTAGTGATCTGCCAACAATTTGTTATTATGTTTTTTACGCTTGTGTTTGTCTTTTGACTCAGTGTTTAAATCGTGTTTCTTTCCCGCGCTCTCATTAACATTCTTCTTAATTTCGGTTTTGTTTTTATTTAGTTTTCTATTCTATTATTCTATTATATTATTTAGTTTTCTGTTCCATTTCTCACTTAAACGTTGTTCTTGCGTGGAAATGCATACCAATGTTTGTATGGTTTTAACCCTTGTGTGTTTTAAAGATTTAATTATGTCTTTCGATTGTTTTCTTATATTTTAATAATGATTAATAAAATCAATTATTTCTTTGTTTAATAATTTCGAGTGTCTGTTACAACATCAATTGCTAGTTCCGTGCAAACATCAAGATGTTCTTTGCTTGCAGCTAGCTGTGTGTTGGCCTAAACGGTTGTAGTATTGGCCTGATTATGTCCAAATCAGGCTTAAAGTGGACATGTGAAAAGTGCGGGGATGTTGAAAATATAATGAGTTTTTCGCATTAATAAAATGTGCTTCTTCTATGAAAACTGTTATCTTAAGTCCAAGTAATCTAGCTTATAAATTAAATATATATTTATTCGAGAAAAATACTAAACTAAAAGATTTACCACCAGCAACTAAAATGAATTCAAAATTTGTGAATGTATCTCAAACTGAGTTGTTGACAATTGCTTATCAAAGTATTTGAACCCTGCAACGCATTCTGCTGATAAGCATTGATAGGTCAGCTAGTTATTTTCCAGACTCGAAAATGATGTTTTGATTTTCAGTATTTAAAATTATTTTGTAGTGAAAACACACAGAAAATTTGAAAGAAATTTAAGTCTATGAATTATTTGTTTCCTTTGCAGACGCAACTAAGAAGCTTGGCAATCGACTGGTGGGCGACGTGGACTTCGAGGAGGCCAAGCTTGTGGCTGGACATATAACACCGGTGCCCTTCGGTGTCGGTCCCATGACCGTGGCCATGTTGATGAAGAACACTGTGGTATCGGCCACCCGGGCAGCGGTGCGTGCCAAACTCACACGTTGGCCCATCGAGCTGCTCCCACTAAATCCATTGCGTCCCGTTCCCAGCGACATTGTTATTGCACGCGCTCAGCGTCCCAAAAATATTGGTCAGCTGGCCGAGGAGATTGGATTGCTGCCGAACGAGGTGTCTTTGTATGGCAATAGCAAGGCAAAGATCTCGCTGAGTGTGCTGCAGCGTCTGCAGCATCAGCAATCGGGCAGCTATATCGTCGTGGCTGGCATAACACCCACCCCACTTGGCGAGGGTAAGACAACGACACTGATGGGTCTGGTGCAAGCGCTGGGAGCGCACAAGCAGCGCAACGTGATGGCCGCACTGCGTCAGCCGTCGCAGGGGCCAACGTTTGGCATTAAGGGTGGCGCCGCCGGTGGTGGCTATGCTCAGGTCATACCGATGGAGGAGTTCAATTTACATTTAACCGGTGACATTCATGCCGTTTCCGCGGCCAATAATCTGGTTGCCGCCCAGCTGGATACGCGCATTTTCCACGAGGCCACGCAATCGGATGAGGCACTCTACAATCGACTTGTGCCGTCTATGAAGGGTCAGCGAAAGTTCAGTCCGATCCAGTTGCGGCGTCTGCAACGTTTGGGCATTGATAAAACCGATCCCGCTACTCTCACCCCAGCGGAGGCTAAAGCATTTTCACGCTTAGACATTGATACGGATACGATAATGTGGGAGCGTGTCGTGGATGTTAATGATAGGTATTTGCGTGAGATAACCATTGGCCAGTCGCCCACCGAACAGGGCCGTACACGCAAGACACGCTTCTCCATTGCAGTGGCCAGTGAGATCATGGCTGTGCTCGCTCTGTCCAATAATCTGGCTGATATGAAGGAGCGACTGGGACAAATGGTGGTGGCTTTTGATAAAGCAGGCAAACCGGTGATTGCCGATGATTTGGGTGTTACGGGCGCCATCGCTGTGCTGCTGAAGGATGCACTCGAGCCAAATCTGATGCAATCTCTGGAGGGAACACCAGTTCTCGTTCACGCCGGCCCCTTTGCCAACATTGCTCATGGCTGTAATTCCATAATAGCCGACGAGATCGGTCTGAAGCTGGTGGGCAGCGAGGGTTTCGTGTGCACCGAGGCGGGCTTTGGATCCGACATTGGCATGGAGAAGTTCTGCAACATCAAGTGTCGCAATTCCGGACGCAAACCGGACGCCATGGTCCTCGTCACAACAGTACGGGCCATTAAGATGCATGGTGGAGGTGATGCGGTCAAGCCGGGCACACCACTCAGCAAACAGTATACGGAGGAGAATCTGGAGCTGCTGGAGAAGGGATTGCCAAATCTATTGCAGCACATCTCTAATGGACGCGCATTTGGTATGCCCGTAATCGTTTCCATCAATGCCCATGTGGCCGATACGGCCGCCGAGCATGAGCTGCTCAAGAAGGCTGCATTGCAGGGAGGCGCTTTTGATGCGGTGCTTTCCACCCACTGGGCAGATGGTGGTGCTGGTGCTGTCCCCCTTGCCGAGGCCGTCATTAGGGCCTGCCAGCTGGAGAACAAGTTCGAGCTGCTCTACGACTTGGAGCTGCCGCTGGTGGACAAGATAAACAAGATTGCCCAGACTATGTACGGTGCGGGCAAAGTGGAATTATCCAAGGAAGCCATCGTCCAGGTGGAACGTCTTACAAAGGCAGTAAGTACATAAATGTATCTATAGATATATATAGCTGATTGAGTGGTTGATTGATTGATTGTCATAGCACAGTGCCACATTTCTATATATATATATATATATATAACTGATTGAGTGATTGATTGTCATAGCACAGTGCCACATTTTTACATAAAACTATTGTGTTCAAACAGTTTCTAGGAAACTCCAGCAAATCTTTATAATTTCTTAGAAATATTCACCTAATGAAAGCTGTTTGTTTGGTAATTCGAACGACTTCAAACTAATTAATTTTTGTTTGATCAGAAGAAGCTTTATTTTAAATAATAAATCACTATTTTTAAAATCACACGCACTTTTTCAAATAGGTCAGCAGCTAATAATTCCATTTGTAAAAATTATTTATATAAACTACTTTAATTTGTTTGCAGGGCTTTGGCAAATTGCCTGTGTGCATGTCGAAGACGTCCGGCTCTCTCACTGGCAATCCCAACATGAAGGGCGCACCCAAAGGCTTCACCCTGAACGTTGAGAGTCTTTATGTGTCGGCTGGTGCCGGCTTTGTGGTGGCCATGTGCGGTGATATTAGCAAAATGCCGGGACTCACAACTCGCCCTGCCATCTACGACATTGATCTGAACAGCGAAACTGGACTAATCGAGGGACTGTTTTAACTTGACAATACATTTGATCGTTTCCTCTTCACAAAATTTCATGTAATCGCAAATTTAAGTTAAATGTTTTGTATCAGATGATGTCTGCCACTTTGGCCTACTCTAAATTGTATGAACATTAGAAGAAAGAAAAGAACATAAATAATTATTAATATGGTAAATCACGCTGACTTAGTCTGAATCAACAGATATCAAATTAAATGTTTAAATAAATGTAGTGTATTGCAAAAAATCGAGATTGTTGCTAATCAAATTGAGTGTGCTCTCTTTAGTTATTCTATAAATTAATTGCTCAACAATTCAATGGTCCAATAAATCCAATAGATTTATTAAAATATGATAAAGTAGAATACCTAAAGAGAATGGATTTCTGTATTTAATTTTAATTTTATATACTCAGAAAAAGTTGTGTTTCTGTATTTGGGTTTAAGAAAAAATGGTCTCATGAAATTGTTTACATTCTGGAAAATACATTTCCGAGCTTATAAGGTATATGGAGTTGAGATCAGGACGATGAACTAAGTTGATATGCATAAGTAACAACGAATTTGGCTAAATGCAGTTCACTGGATACAGAATATCTAATAGCTTAGCTCTCTCGGCTAGGGCACCCTTGTCGTTTCGGGGGAGTACAAATAATATAGCTAACTTTATTTTAATTTAAGCAGTCTATACTGATAAACAACATTTAGACATAAGGAGTTGAACAACTGTTTTTTTTTTAGAATGTTCCGAATGCGTGTGTGCAACGTTATCCATCCCGGCATTAGGCAATTTATACTGCGCACCGCAGTGCTCAACTATTTGAGCAAATGTCTACAGGCACAGTGGAACGATTGGCAGAATCAGCGGATGCATTTGCGTGCACTGGGGGAGGAGAATACGAACGCAGCTGATGCGGATGTTGTCACAGAGGAAGCACTTGCGAAGGCGGTACGTGCTAATCTCAACCAGACAATTGAGGAGCTGGCCAGGAAAGTTGCCGCCACACATAAGCTGCTGCAGCGCGAATACAACGAGCTGTTCACGTACATGATGGACAAGCGGGATCTGTGGGACAGTTCTGAGTACTTTAGGGCCAAGACGGCGCTGGGCGCAGCCAATCGCAATCTGAGAACATATATGACCGCAGACAAGTGATGATGACAGCGATCAGTTGACGGCAAACAACATTTCGATTCTATAAACACACTTTTTTGTAACTCTTCAAATTATACATTAAGTGCTCCAATTATTTGTAAAATGGTATTTCCACGCGACCCGATTTCGTGTTGACCGCCTCCCAGCAGGTGCACATAAACGTGGAACGATCCATGTGATCCGTGTACAATTTGCCATCCAAATGCTCCATCTCGTGCTGGGCGATGCGAGCATTCCAGCCGCTCAACTCTAGCTCCGAGTGGACGCCCTGTCTGTCCAGACCAGAAAGCTTGACACCTTCATAGCGTTCCACTTCAGCGGAAAAGCCACGCACACTCATACAGCCCTCGGGATGCTTATGTTTAGTATAATTGGTCACCGTCAGCTGAGGATTGATGAGCACCTGTCGAGGAATAGAGGACTTAAGATATGCACTTCTAGGCTTTTGATTGGCTTACAGTCAATGGCAGCTCCGACATTTGTCGCCTCTTATATGTAGCGTCGGATAGATCCTTTTTGATGCTTCGCCTGAACTCCATGGCAATGATACGCAGGGAGACACCAATTTGTGGCGCCGCAATGCCCACACAATCGAATTTGCGCAGCACGTGGACCATCTGATCCACAATCGCGTGAATTTCCTTGCTGTTCACACAATCCGCTGGCACCTCCGCTGCCCGGTCGCGCAGCACCGGATCCCCAATCTGGGTGAAGTGTTCGTAGGGTGGCAGGTTCGTGCGCTTCGTTGTCCACAGCTGTTGGTACCATTTTCTGAATGATTGTCTTGCTGCCAGGCTGGTACTAAGCCATCGTTCGTGTCGTCCACACAATTTATGTAGTTTTAGCAACATTTTTTGCTGCGTTATATCTCAGCAATTTTGTAGGCGGCGTATTCGTAACAGTAACATAAATAATATAAATATGTAGTCACTTACAAATACCCTCTAATTTTTTTAATTTTTGTAACTTGACCAAAAATCGGTCTTTTGGTAGCATCATGAAGACGACATAATAGGGATAATTTATAAATTTATTGAACTGTGTTTATTTGCTGCTTTAAATAATTTAATTTATAATTTGAAGTCAAGTTAAATATATAAACTGTTGCATATAATCAATATGCCCGTTTAAATTTACCAGGGCTATCTCACAAACTTATCGATTGTTAGCCAAGCAATTTATGCGATAGTTAACGTTCATGTAGCTCACAATGGGAATGTGAACCAGCTACTGCTAAACAGTGCTGCCAATTCAGCCGTTTTGCCGCTTGCTAATCTACGTCGCCAGAGAAGTGAATAAACTGTTATTATTTTGAAAACATAAATTCTTTGGCTATTGAATTACTATATATTTAAATAGAAAACATTTTTCTTTTATTTATTTTTCAAACGATATAACAGCGCGTCCACCAGTTGCATTAATCTGTTGCCAAGTGATGCAAGTGAAGCTAGAAACGTCCATGCGATCAATGTAAACAATGCCGTTCAAATGATCCATTTCATGTTGCGCTATGCGCGCGCTCCACCCGACAAGTTCCAACTCCGACGGCGTTCCAAGTATTCCGATGCCGGTGACTCGAACACGATCGTATCGAGAAACCTTCGCCGAATATCCGCGCACACTCATGCAGCCCTCGGGATGCGTGTGCTGCTTATCACTTATTATCTCAATTTGCGGATTGATAAAGATCTGCGTTTGCATAAAAAAATATTAAAAATACTCTTGAAAATAGATGTATTTAACTCCAACTCACGGTTAGCGGTAAATGCGACATTTTGCGTTCCTCGTACACTTCTGGCGTAAATTGTTCCCGTTTGCCCTCGCGGAACTCCATTACAATTATCCGCATTGGTACTCCCAATTGGGGAGCAGCCACGCCCACACAGTCGTAGTGCCGGAGCACCTTAACCATTTGCTCCACAATATCTTTGATCTCCTGGCTCGCGATGCGTTCTGCGGAAACTTCTTCGGCACATAGTCGCAGCACAGGATCGCCAATCTGCGTAAAATGATTATACGGCGGAGCCGTGAGTGGGCTAAGTTCCGTACACATTGACATTGGCAATGATACTGAGGCGACAGTACAATTGAATCCACCAATCAGCTGATTCTGTTAGGCAACAGTCGCTGCCAGCAGTTTGTGACCGCATAGGAGGCAAAATACTCAAACTCGGGAATAAAGAAAATCGTTTTTTATTGGGTTTTATATATATTTAAGTATGATATACTATGCCATTAATTTTATTATTTTCTTACAGATGGTGATATCCATCTATAAAGCAAATATGATATAGTAAACAAAAAATTTTGGTATTCTCGTTTATTTTAGATTGCCTTATCAAAGATCGGCAATTAGATGCGAACCCTAATCAAAGTAATGATCATCTAACTTTGGCCGCTTCGTCTGGGATAAAATCGAAAGTTTCGAAACAGCTTTGCTGGAAAGATCATCACGTGTCAAAGGAGTAGTGTGTTTACGGAGTCTGGATACAAGTTTGAAGTATTTGGTAATAATTTGGTCAACAGGAGCACCATATGACTCGTCTTCCAGATCGTTTTGGCAGCGCAAGTAGATGTCCTGCAGGACGCCACCGCTGCGATAAAAGTGGACGACTTTGTCACGACGACACCACTTGTAGAGTGTTTGTAAGCTGCACGGCTCATAGATGCGGTACACCTGAAAGAAGTGATCGTAATGCTTGGCCATTTTGCGCATCTTTATCTCATCAATTTTGGGTATCTGCAGATACGGTTGCCGCACAATGTGATACGGATCATGCTCTAGGGAGTAGTTGCCAAAACGCACTGAGGGCCAATTCAATGTCAGTATTGTGTCATACAAGATCTTTGGATGCCCCAGCACACCATGTGCCACATCGATCATGAACAGCTGCGGCCCCGGCACAATATACTCCAGCTCGATCTGGACAATGCGTGTATCGGTGCCGCGATATTTGCGATCCCCTATCCACAGTATGGGCAGATCCTCCTCGGCTATATGCTCCAGTTCCTGAATCAACGGCGACACCTGCGTGCGATAGTTGACAATCTTGTTAAGGCGCCCATAAAGCAAACTTCGTTCAGCAGGTGTAAACTTCAGATACTCTGGACGATTCATCACAAAGTGTTCGGAGCGAAACAAGCGATTCATCTCCATTTCGATCACATTGTAGGCACGCCTGTGCATCGTTATCCAAACGATCTGTATGGCGACAGCAAGGAACTGCTCGTGAAACAACTTGTCCTTGATCGTCGCCGAAATATTGACAATCTCCGTCATGTGATAAAACTGTGCCATGTCGCCTTCACCCTTTAGGATCGCGCTGTAGTTACGGGCCACCAGCATGCGATATTGGCTCAAATAGATCGAGAATATGCGCTTCGTATCATTTGTCTGCTCGCTCTGAATCTGTGCCATGTCGCCAGCAATCTCATCACGGCGGATCAGCACAAACTCGACCATGCGCAGAAAGTACTCAAAGTATATGATGAGAGCATGGAGTACTCTGTGCACAGCGGGCTTATGCATAAAATCAAGGAATTTCATGCTCAAAAATTCTTTTGGCATTAAAAATAGCACCAGATCGCGAACATCATTAATGACCACTGTGTCCGTATCGAAAGTGGATGCGGAACGCACAAACTCCTGTCGAAAGATCAACTCCTCCTCTTGATTGATTGTGCGAAGAAACTTGAATCCGTTTGTCTCAATATACCGCTCCCTTGCGTCTGACAAATCGTTATGGGGCTCAAAGTGCAGACTATCAGCTTTCTTGTCCCAAGACCATTTGCCACTGTGGTATTTGGGCACATAGGTGTCGGCGTAAATTCGTTTCATTTTGTCCGCAAATTGAGACTTCTTCGGATTGTATGTATATGGTTTATTGTATGTGTATGTGTACTGAATGCTGTGTGCTTTGAATGTGTTTGAGCGTGTGTCTAACCTTAAGTGTAGGTGTTTGCCTATTGTTCAATCAACACAACTGGTCGGAAGCTAAATTATGAAATGAAATGAAAGTTGAAGCAAAGCTCTGAAAATCTAAACAGCAGACATTGGGGGACAGCATAGGAATCAGATTTTTATATACATATCTGTTCATTAGTAATATACGTTATTACCTAAAGTATTAGCCAATAAATTACTAACAATGTCCAGCTTAAGGCTTGGCATAAAATTACTAAAATCTACTCATGCATTTTTTTCTTGTTTACCATTTTTTGTTGCTATTAAATCAGGGTTTACTTTCAACAACTGAATATCCAGCTTCTGCTATAATAGTATATTTTAACAATATATTTGTGGACACCATTTAAATTTTACACACAATCCAATCTTTTGACAGCGCTTATAAATGTTCAAAACAACACCTCCATCAGCATCATTGATGATTTAACTTTTCAATCATTTTTTACAACTTTTAAATCATTTTACTGATGCGAGTGATCTTGAAGAAATGCTAGACATAATCAAGCAGCTGGCATAAAATATCATGTTAATATGTCAATTCCAGGACTGATATCGTTTTTGGCTCAAACAAATTCACGCTCTCCAAAAATGTTCATAGGGCTGCTGCTGGTAATCGTAATCCTAAGAAAGTGGCAAGCCAGTAACTGCTGCTGGTGATTAACTTTATTACTTATTACTTTTCAAACTAGGTAATCAACTACACACACAGCATTTGTGTATTCTGAGACGGAGAGTTCCTTGGCCGAGCCGCTGGATTCCGTCAGTGCCTTTTTTCTCTCATTTCTTTGATGCGCGCTGACAATTTGGTCAATGGCGACTCGCATAGCGAAGATTTTTTGCTTGTCTATTGGATGACCTTTGACTCCAAAGAGCAGCAATCAACGACCAAATGCTCAACTTCGCCTGAGGGCAGGCCACAAAATATTAACAACATCAACAGCAACAACCACAATTCTTAGAATTAAATCATAGCATACAAGATAAATACAAGACAAGCCAAGACTTTTCATTGTATAATTTTTAAAAACAATTTTCGCCTTCAGACTTGGCAGCAATAACAAAAGAAAGTTTTTTTTTTATACGTCTGGAAATTACCCTGTACTTACAACTTGCAACAAGTTGAAGAAGTCGATGTATATAATAAAATTTATTTACTTCGAAGCACAAATACCCTTGCAAAGATTTGCGAGTGACTTGCACCAATTTTGTATGGCCAAAATATCAAATTATTTCTTTGGTAAACCGAATCGCTTGAGGCAGAGAAAAGAGTTTGTCTGGAATAAAAAAAGTAATAATTCTGCAAAAAGTTGATGTATTTAGTTTCATGTATAAGTTGCATTTTGATTATAATATTCGAACACATTTACAGGGTATACTGAGTATAATTACTATAGCCCAGTGGCAGTGTACTGTTTATCTGATTTGTTGACTTTATTTTCCCCCATCCATCAAATTTGCGCTTGTAATTTAATAAAAATTGTGTAAATTTACCGGCTGCAAGGCAAATGAACAGCAAGAACACTGCCATAATCCTGCGGCCATTATCATGACACGCATTGGCTGGGTTACTTATCTCATTATGAATTTATGCCTGGGTCGCGTGAACGTTTGCCACTCATAAGGCCAAACGGGCAAAATTTATGATCACCTTGCAGCTAATTTATGTGAGAGCCAAAAACCAGCAACAACAGCAACACACAAAATGTGAATAAAATTCAGGCCTTAATTTACTCAACTGTCGGCTATTAACGGAATTCCCCCCTGGTCATACACTGTCTCCACTTGTGCATTTTAATATATTTTCCTGTATATCACGGTGCCACAATGGACCTCGTTACCTCAATTTCCACCACCCATTCATGGACTTGTTTGCTCTTTTTGTGCGTTCATTTTTTGTGGCATGTAAATTGAGTTCTTTTTGTTTCTGTTTTTATTGCTTGTGTTGCTTGTTATACCCAATCGAGGTGCACAGTTATTGACATTTACATATTATTGGTTAAGTGGTTTTTTTTAACACGGTTATTTATTTTAAACACGGTTATTTATTTTAAACTATTAAATTAAATTCAATTCATGCAATTCATCCTTAACACATTCACATTTTCTCCATTTAATTGAAGTGATTATCACACCGTTGTTCATTCATTTAAGCAAGATCCTTGGAAATCAGTACACTATTGACATTTTTAAATAGTGGATTCAATCAATTCAAGCCGCTATCATTTTCACAAACTTTCAAAAGACTGACATTTGACACTTTCAACTAAGATAAGAGTGCTCAACTGCAAGGACTGGACTGCATAAAATATAACACAATAAATGCTTTCGGACTTAATTCATTATTTTGATTTTCTCTTTGTCTCTCCTTTTCATATAATTTAAGCTGATTTATTTAAAATGCTCCTCTAAAAGCATCATTTATTGTGCACAATTTTGAACCGTCTAGTCAACTGTTTTTAGTTGAGTGCCATTGAGGACGATACAATATCAATTACTTATATAAGCTGTTGTGCTTTTATGAAGTGCATATCAAAAAGTTAACTTTTATATCACACACACATTGAATGTTTATTTTGAAATTGTACTCAATTTAAGCTTCTTGCTGCCCGTTAGGAACAAAAAATCAATTTCACCAGAGATCTGAGTGAAATCAAGCCGAACGTGTATAAAAATGAAGACCATTGAAGTTGTGGCCAGAATAAATATAAATTTATACCCTGTGCCCATCATGTGGCAAGAAAGGTCTTTTCAAATTGTCCTTATAAATGTAACAGGCAATAAGAATTATACTTAATTGTGTATATGAAAAATGTACGTCATAAATCAATCTTGTTAGTCTGTTAAAATCATTTTTAGTTGCTCCTTTAAGAAGGTAAAATGTAGAACCATCAGTCGAGACACTAACAAGAGCTTTGCAAAAACTAAAAATGGGTGCAAAATGTGGCGATAACAAACTACGAGTACGACTCTTGTCGTCGGTTTCATTGTTTTCTTTGACATCTTGTCAACAAGGGACAGGAGTTATAGAATTTCTATTCAAGCTCTCTTGAACATATTATGCTGCAGATGCTTTCCCGCCAACAGTAAGGAAATAAAATAAAAATAAGTGAAATATAAAGCACTTCAAAATGAGTTGAGCTTCTCCCTCGCCATTTTTTGCGGTGCTCTTTATTGTTTACGGAAGGTTGTGTGTTTACAATCAGGTTGTCGCCATTGTTTTTCGTTGACCAGCATAACCTGATATTTCTTGGAAGTACTTCGTCTGTAATCCCTTTGTGTTGGTGGGCACCCAACTGAGGACAAGGTGTGTTTGTCCCATGGCCAAATGTAAAAGCGTGCGAAATAATTTTCCCCTTTCTTACGAGAGAGTACAATTAACAGCCAGAAGAAAAACACAAAAATCCAATTCGACCCAAAAGAAAAACTTTTGTGTAGAACCATAAAATTATTAATGCATAATATTTATGTACATATTTTTTAAAGTAAACTCTCGAAACACGCATTTGTTGGTGTTAATAAAAATTTACTTATTATGAAACGGATATATATTCAAATTGAATGAAAATCTTATCTAATAATCGATGTTTATTCCATAATCAGATCAGTATACTTACGATTTATTATTACGAAGGTCCTTGAAGGTTTTATTTCGTAATCCGCATCATAAAAAATATTTTCTTTTTTGGTTCTACTAATTTCTTGATGCTCGTTAAAGATTCTAAGGACTTGTATTTTTTTGCCATGCTTATAAAACTCAAAACATTCGTATTATATACTTGTAGGTACTGATTTTTGGTATTCAATAGAAAATGAAATATTAAGCTATTTATCCAAGTTGGTGGAATAAATGGTCTTAATTTGATTATATGGGAAATACTCTACTCATATTTTCACATTCACATGCACAGGAGCACTTATGCACGTATATGCTCAGTAATTAAATAATCATGTAACTTAATTGTTAACGCGAATCCAATGATGTGTGCTAAGTGAACTCTATATAAATATATAAATATTTACAAAACATCGACATGAACAGTTATTATGGAAGGCTTACAAGGCTTTAATTTATATTAAATGAGACCGAACTGAATTTTCATATAAAATTCGCCAAAGAGAAATATGAATTTGAATTGATTTGATATGGCGAGTGGAAGATGCTTGGTGGAGTTTTTACTCACTTCCTTTAGGGCTTTTAAATTTGTAGTATGTTAATTCCGTGTACATCACGTAATAAATGTACAAACTTAATTCGTGCATTCAACGAATGGCTTGATAAATTAATTATTAAATTACATGGGTCATAAAATAACATGGAATTAATGACGTATGGCTGAACTAAAGGAGGACGGAAGTACAGGTGCTGCCGATAGCCCTTAATAATAAAATTCAATATATTAAAACGCAGGCAGAATCGTGCAATTTAAAAAATGTTCAAGGGAAAAAATTACACAGGCAGCCGAGAAAAACACGTATTCGCCGCATGGTTCGCCCAGAATTCAATTGAAAGACAGGAAGTGTCGCACATACTCGTGTATTATATTATGGGGTAGAGGTTTGGAGGGGTTGGTTCACAAGCAAGCCCTCCCCTTACGCCCACGTACACAACTTGAGTCAGCTCCTTTTAGCTGACTGTTCACTTTCGGCTTATTAATGGTTTGCTGGCATTTATGGTTATATGAGTCTTGTTTGTATTTTTGGCTCCTTCTCGGAGGCGTAGCTTAAAATTTATTAGCTCACCGATTTATTTGTTCAATTGCGTGTCACGCGGTTAACGCTGCGGATACGTGATGTGGAACTGACGCTTTTATTTTTTGAATGCAGGAAGCAGCAAAGAACTTTAAATGAAAATCAATTCATTACTTGCTCGAATTTGGAGCCATGCGTGGCTCTCTAGAGATAAAGGACGTTCGCTGATCCGTCGTCGGATAGCTCTAGCTGATCGATCGTTTTTATTATTAGTTCTCATTGTTGAGATGGTTTGGCGCAGGCTTCAAATCTTCAAATTTCGCTCATCGATCGCTAATTACTCTTGTTGGGAGAAGGTTTAGCAATTAGTTTTAAACCTTTACTAATAATTGTCAAATGTTGCGAAAAAGCCTTAGCATTGGCTTCCCATTTTAATGCAATCTAAGTTCAAGGTATTGAAACACTTAAGCCAATGTATTTTTAGTCAGCTAAGAGCACATTTGTTACCTTCATGTTCTTCTTTGCTGCTCTTCCTAAATATAATATGATTTATTTCGGTACTTAAGCACTTACACTTAAATAGACAGCTACTTAGACATGCCATCAATTCTAAGTGCCATCCATATATGCATAATTTACGAAGTGACGTGTGGGACGCAAATAAATGAGAGTTGTTACGCACAATAACAAATTGTTTCAAGTCACCTCAAATTTGTCATTGAATATGTCCCATTAATATGACACTCATTATCCAAGAAACGATAAAAAAAAAGATGAATGCTCAAATTGAGCACACCTCTGTACTACAAACAGACACATTTAATTTATAATTATGCTAGAAATGATCTATATATCATTTATGCATACTAGAATTGGAAATATAATCAAAGGCAAATAAATGAAATAAATATTCAAAACTGGAAGCAGCTCACAATTATCACAGTAATCAAAAGGCTTATGTGTTCTTTTCATTAGTCTGACAAAAAGCCAGTTCACGTCACAAGTTAAAACTATTTAGTATTTGTCTGGCTCAGAATTGTTCATTTGCAATTAGGTTCATTATATTTGGACCAACAAAAGGCTACGCTAAATGCCAAGGCAACATTGCTTACAAAAGTTACTTAATTAATATGGTATTTCATAGCAATTGAAATTTATCTTGGTCTTTTCACAATATATAAGCAACTGAAGCATGATTATATTTGAACACATCCACAGTGGTAACAGTTGGATTTTAAGTAGGTTTTCCCGATTGACAGATTTTCATTTTGTTTTGGTCACATTTATGTAGTGCGCCAAAATCTGTCAGCTTAGGTTGTGAAAATTATTATTTTCTCGATATAGCTGGAAAAATCTCCTCGAGCCATTTAACTGCTGACAAACAAAGTGCTTTGTTATTGTACTATGAGATATTGTGGACGTTTTTTCTTTGATTGACGGGCATTTATATAGCTTAGGATGCAAAGCTTATAATGCCATCAGCTTGAATAACATTAACACATTTTTTATTGTCTAATATTCGTAAGCAATACTTACAAATCCCCAATGATGGAATATATTGTTTAAAGAACAAGACCTAAACACACTTGGGATTACGATTCGTCTGCATAATAACAACAACGAAAAATATGTTGAAAACTCTATGCGAAAAAATCAATGTATGAACAATTTTGTTGGCAAGAGAATAAAAAACACAAAAGCGAAAAGAAACATATATGGAATACAATTCCAATTTTTAGATATACTTTTACTAAGAATTGAATTCACTATGGTGAACAGAACAAAATTCAGTTAAGGTTTTTTAATTTATTTGAAATATTCGCAACATTAACTTAATACGGTTCGATTTTATTAGATTCAATTCGATTCGATTCAATTGAAAATCCCCATTCCATGTCCATTTTGAGACAGTCATCTGTGACATTGTGCAATTTGCTTGCTCATGTATATTTAATTTAATTTTTAACGTTTGGGTGTAAAATCATTTCTTAGCTTTTTGACATTTTGCGGTTTTTGTTGATGTTTCAACATGTGTTTGCTTTGCCGCTAAAAGCCAATTAAAATTCAGCGCAGCAATCGCGGCCATGTAGGCTAAAGCTGTCAGGATGTGGGAGGGTATACATATGTATGTAAACATGCCAAGGTGTTAGGTAAGCGCACTCCAAGAGAGCCCAGCACGTGGCATTGATTAGCGTGAATTGTCAACAGCTGTGCACTGTCTAAAGAGCCCCATTAACTAACTACAAAACATTCTTTTTAAGTGCAGCGCCTGTTGATAAGGTGTAAAAGAGGTACTAGGAAGTTGTGCAAATGTATCTAAGAGAAATAACATTTGAATAAAATTCAAAATTTCTTTGTACATATTTTTGTGGAGATAAACAAACAAATGATGTTCAAATAGGTGTATTTTTCATATAAAATACAATTATTTATGTTTGGGTAAGGTTTGAGAATAAGCTTTAGTCCCAAAAAAAACGTTCGCGAACTGAATAAAAAACTTGGCCACGAACTAAATGTCATTAAAAATGTTACAAATTTGCACACTTTTTATTTGCTTTGGATACACACTGATAAGCACTTAAAAATAATTCAGTTTCTTCAAAATAAATAAATACCTAAATAGTATTTTAAATTTAGAGAATCAGCTAATATGCCAGCACCAGCGAATTTGAATATAAGTAATGAACTGAGCAGGAACGAGTATCGCTTAGCAAGGATCTACATAGTTGCTGCCGCAATGACTTTAATTGCACTGGGTCAACTGACGGCGTTCCGAATAGTTGATATGACCGAATGTGTGCCAATGCCGAGCTTTATGTGGCTGGTGATCGCAATGGTGTGCAAGTGCTTGTTGATCTTTATGGAGCTGTTTGACAAGTTTCCCGTCAACTGGACGCTGGGCTTTGTCGCCGTGGAGTCCATGACGTTATGCGTTGGAAGCTATTATTGGCCCAAAATGGAACGGTTCCATACAGTCATTGTCGTGTTTATCGTTATTGGGACTAACTTCTGTTTGTATCTTATGGGCACATTTCTGCCTGTCTTCATTCTGCCCAGCTATAATTTTATGCTGGTGTTAACAATTGTCTTTGTCATTGTCTATATATTTCTGATCATATTGTTGCATTCATTGAGCATGCGAATGATCTTTGTACTCGCAATTGAAATATGGACTATATTGTACTTGATACCCCTGATGCTTTATGCAAGCACCCTAATACAGCAGCGCCGCCTAGTTAATATGATGTCTCAGGAATATATGCTGTCTGCAACAATTATAACTACAATGTTTCTTTATATGTTGCATGTAGTTACCTCTATTGTGCTGGAAGGGGTAAAGGGAACATTAAGTTAAATAAATAAATTGAATATTAAATCTAATTATATTATTTTCCAAGCTGACGTTTATATCCGAATCATATAATCAGATTATTTACAAAATGTTTCAATAATAAAAATGTTATCAAAGGAAAATACTCAAGGAAAGTAATTTAAATGTTATGTGAATGGCATCAGTAGTAGTTTAATATATTCAAAAATATGAATACAAATCTAATTTGTGACCATTAAATTCGGCCTCAGTCCCATTAAAATGGAATATATACTTTAAAATTCCTGTGTAATAGGCCTGCATAAATCTTGAATCCTTTCTAAGAGAATTATAAACAATTCAAAAAGAAAAATTAGCATAACTCGAGGCATAAATAGAATAAGAGATTGGAAATATTTCTTCAAGTGTGGGCAATGAAGTGAACAGAAGTAGAATAAACATAAATACTTCACTAAAAGGACAACGAAAGTGGCCAGTACAAGAAACAACAAAATATTTTTATGTGTTTTAGCTGTGGGTTCTATTTGTGTATATTGTATATTGTGTATTCAGGCAGAAATGAGTTGATAAAAAAAAAAAAAAACTCGAACACCAAAAAGAACAAACCAACTTGTTTCCAAAAATAGCTGCATAATCAAAGCAACAAAAATGGGTACGGAAACAGAAATGAAACTTCCGTCCGAAAGTTTGGATAAATCAGCATACGTCAGCGAATGCTTTGTTTCTGGCAACGGTTAAACTAAAATGTGACATAGGGATATCAAATCCAATGCAATGTGAAATGAAATGGAAAGAAATATTTAAGCAATAATCGATATTTAAAAGACAACATTTATACAAGTAAATTACATAAAATTCAATAGGCAATGAAAGCAATGTTCAATAAAAGTATCCTGCCCGATCGTAATAAAGGCAGGGTTAAGTGTAATCAGATTATCAGATTAAAGCTAATAAAGATATTATTTAATCGTCTAGAGCATTACTTTTTATTCACATACACCTATAAGAGAAGAATAATTTTATTTATGAATATGAAACATTTATTTCGACAGATAAATTGCCAATAAAAATAGACTCGTTTCTCGCAATCTTTATTTTAATAATTCCAGATGTTACGGAAAAATAGATATCTGCTTGTGCCTCAATCGCTACTTATTTATATCTATATACTTTTTTAAAACAGTAAAAATATTGAATAAACATAAATTCTTTATTACGAGCTGCAGCCTGTTGTTTGTTTAATATTTAATGACATAAAATGTTTTTATTATTGAAAGATATATACATTTGAACATAACTGATAAAGCAAACAATTAATTAACTTGTCGTTGGCGGATCACATTATATATCCATTCAAGGCTCGCATTCTGGCAATGTGAAAGTCCATGTGCCATTAAGATTACACACGTTCCACGGCTTGCCTTTGGTCATATTTTGCCGTTCTTCACACTTAAAATGCACTGGCTGATTGGGGTCCACATATTTCGTTCCATTGTATAAACGGTAATCGGTGTCCTCCTCAAATTTTGGGAATTGTGAACCATCTGGCTCTGTACAATTTTTATAGGGTTGCGGCTTATAACCTGATATATTTTCACACACATTAAAGAGCTCATCAGCACCATCCAGACAATCAGGAATATTATTACAGAGCAAATCTTCTGCAATGCAAACGCCATTGCCACACTGAAATTCGTTATCTATGCATTTTCTGTAGCAATACGCCAGCGACTCATCGATGCCGTTACTACAATCAATTTCGTTATTGCACAAATCGTCGTAGGAAATACACTCGCCTGGAAGACATTCAATTTCCTTTTCACTGGAATTATACAAAGTAATTAAGTAAGACTACAGTATCAAATAACAGGCTCTAGTCATCTTTTCTTACTAAATTCCTTGTGCAATGAAATAAATTACAATTTATTTAAATGTAGGCAGATATAAATATTGTGCCTATTGTGAAAAAGACAAACTTTCGATAGTTAATTAAGTGTATATTAAGCATTACACTTCTAAGTGGAACTTTCTCAATTTAAGATTTTACCGAGAATATGGTTAACGTTGAAGTTTAGTTGGCAGCAGATGAAGTGTAATTGGATATATTTTGAACTCCCCTGTATTCGATTCCAAATTCTAATCAACAATAATTTTAAGAAAATACAATTTTAATTTTAAATAATTATTAAATAAAAAATTAAGTTGTGTCACCTTTTAATTTAATTTGATGTTTTAATTTTAATTTGTTTTAAATTTCTTCCACAAGCTTCACAGTCACTGCATACTAACCTGCAGTTTCCCTGATGAGTGAAATCTTCTTGGTCAGGCGCATCGGATCTATCCCAACAGTCTACATCTTTATCATTTTCTTTATAATCTTCAATTTCACCTCCGCTGGCACAGTAAAATACTTTCTCACGATGTCTTCCGGAATGTATTTTGCAGGTCACTAAGGACTCATCGCTACCGTCTGCACAGTTCCTGTGACCATCGCACCGCTCACTTATTTTCACCCATCCTTTGTTCTCATTTGCCTCGCAATATAAATCATTTGCAGTATTATTCATACATTTAAACCACATGTATTCACAATCAGCTGTATAGTTATTGTTAATTAGTTAAGTATATAGGTTTATAAGGTTTTTATAATATACTATTTATTACCCTCGCTCATTACTTGGCGTGCTATCAGCAACCAGATAAATAAGTACCAAAACATTTTTATATGAATATCCACAAGCTAAACATACTGAATCGCCACTCGAGCTCAATGAAACTGTTTGCTTTCAATTATCCAATCGACTATTTAAATTAAAATATATTGAACACGTGATGCACTTTTTATTAAATATGCACACATGTATATAAATAATAGGGGCGTATTAATGGATTTTTTTTTTGTGAATGCTGCAATTAAATTAATTGCCCATATGAATAGTGATATCTCTATGTATATTACGATAAGCTTATCTGTATTTGACTTGCAAAGGGATTCAAATTTACAAGAGCTGCTGTTTTTTATTTGGCTTTTTTTGTGATGATTGACGTGCAGAGTAAAGCTCAAATTTTGAATGATGGATGTTATTTATTGATTGCATAATGGTAATTTGTATCAAAGAGTACTTTTTAGAAGAGTGGTAGAAATAGTAGTGAAAAAAGTTGGTCTAGATCAAGTAAGAAACAAACAACATCAAAGATGCCTGCAGGATGTAATTATTATCTTGTCTGTAACTTGATGCAGTAGGTTTTTCTCTTAATGCACTCTCCCTTTTGGTAGTAATTTTTTCTACGAAATGTGTTGACGTTTTGCAAATTCTATTTAATCGTTTGGCTCGGAATTTTGATAGGGAATTTATATTTTTGTATTCTCTACATGTCGGAGTGTATCTATCTGCAGTCGATATTACAGACTACAAAATCAGAAACAGACATGTTTTGAATGTAATTACCATATGCAAAAGCTTATTCCCAAACGCATATTATCACAACACAAAAGGTTTCCAAACATTTTTTGTTTTTTGTGCGAACAGAATACTACGAATACAGCGTACCGCCCAGTTAAATTATCGAGTTATATATATTTTTTCTCGCAAACTGCTAAAGCTCAAACAGACAGGTCGATTAAAGCATTTTTTGCATTCAATTATAACATGCAATGATGATGGTAGACATGTAGACAGAAGATATGCATCTGAGAATGAAAATTAAATCAATCTTGACATCAATATGTATTCAACGGAATTTCATGACACACGAAGACATACAAACAAATATGTCTACAGCGATCCGAACAGTGATTGAAAAAATCGCCAACAATTTGTAGGACAAATGCTCAAATTAATCATTTGAAGTTTGTTTTTGGCCTGTCAAAGTAACAAAATTGTTACAAGTCAAGAGCAGTGTGATGGCTAACTTTTCACAAATCCTTAGAGACAGCATTCGTGTAAAAAGTAAGCAGCTTGTCCTTACATTTAGTTGTCTTGCGCACAACGCCAGGTTAAAATGCAAAAAGTTGCCAACTATTTGATAAATGTGAAAGTGAATTTCTGATGACGGCCAAGTAGACAGTCGGGAAAGTTTCACGTTCCTTTTGCTGCGGTGTCAGACGACGACTTAGGTAGTTGAGTTGAGGTTAAGATATATTCCATTTCCCTTGGGAAATATCAAATATTTCTTGTAGCAATCTGCCTCAAGGTGCTTAGCCATTTTGGTGAAGACTTCAGTAATAAATATAAGTCAGCTATAAATTCAATATTCTTGCCTTAATTAAATAAAAAAAAATAATTGAGAATTTATGTTTAAATATACAGTCTTCTAAATTCAACTTGTTATTAAAAATGATAATACAAAAAGTGTTTGAAATTATTTTATTTGAATACCTATACATCGAAATCCTTCAAATTCAAAATAATTGATTTTCTTGTATTGTAAATAAATTAAGAAACAAATTCTCATGTCATTCAGCAAAACAATTACAATATTACGGCAATGCAATTAAAACTTTAACGATTATGTGTTTGCTTTTGCGATTTGATGGGCGAAAACTTTTCAAATTTTACAATCCGCAACTGCTGCCGCAATTTACACCACTGTCTCCGACAATAAGTGAAGCTCTGGGCTCGAATTGTAAACATCAATATAAATATTGACTTCAACTGTGGGAAGTGCGACCCAATAAAATGGCTGACAGCTCACAGCTGCTTGTTATTGGATGGAATATGAATGTTGAGCAACTGGATGCTTTAAGCCGCAACTTAATACAATGGCAGCATGATGGCGGGTGTGTCAGTCGTTTTTTTTTATGATAAATGTGTTTAATCAGCTGTTGTCAAGGATGAACAGCATCTAGCAGTCAGTATCCAGAACCTTCAGGTGAGAGTTGACAAACGAAAATGTTGGCTGTTGTGCGACTTAAAAGATTTCGTGTATTTCTTTCGTCTGCCTGTAGTAAAATAAATAAAAAAAAAGCCACTTTGCTCGCGGCGGTAATTTCTCATTGTCGCTATTGATGTAGGCAGCCAAGCAACTGAGTGAAATGGGTGCAAAGTACATTCCAGGAATGATCCCTATGGACTAATCAGGATTTTATTTACGCTGATGTATAGCTTTGGATGGCTTACGTATCAAATCCCATTAAGTTCTAAGTTATCGTAATTATTTCATGTATCAAATTGTTATCCAATTAGCGGCTACAAACTTTTATGATTTTTTACCTAAACAATAGCTTGAAATCTATATTAGATAATGTTCTAGATAATTGTTTCTAAATTATTTTTTTTAAGGAATATTGATTTGATTGCTCGTTTTAATTATACTTTTGTTACAATTGATAGCAGAAAATTTACAAAATATATAAATAAATATTCACACTCAAAAATCTATTGAATGTGACAGCTACTTTTTAATAAAATATATGAATATTCATGTAAAGTTTTACACAAAGCAAACTCTATTAAACTTTTAAGCAAGACTACTATAAAAAAGTTGTTCAAAACTTGAAGTTACTTAAACATTAATGTGTACATAAGCAGTATCGTGAACGAAAACTATGCAGGCACAGCTGTTGGTCTGGCTCCTGATAAAAAAGACATCCAACAAGTTTAGCAGCAATTTGAAGAGCTCAGCTTAATGTCAACTTACAAGCATGCCTTTCTCCATGCGAAAAGCATTATGTAGGAACAAGCTATTTGCCAACTATTTCCCACCGGATTCCCCTAGGGCAGCTTGCTAAATATAGCCCGAAATGGCAGTCCATATTAGACGCTAACAAATTGTTTTCGCCCTGGCCACAAAACCAGTGTTAAATATTAATTTGACAGAGAGAAAGAGAGAGAGAGAGAGTGTGTAATGAACATGTTTTTGTTTTTTTTTTTTTTTTTGAGATTTAATTAAGAATTGCTGGACACAGATTGTAGCAAGCTGAGCCAAGATAAACCCAGCTGGCTGTGGGACCCTTTTCATGTGTACTCTCGATTCATTGCCTAATGACCTTGTTGACATTTGGAGACGCTTGGCAATACCTATTTAGTTGTATGCTTTTAGTCGTGGCCTAATGAATGGCCAGACAAGTGCCTAGAGCTTATCAGGACATTGTCCTGTCAATGCTCATGGTTCTGTTGTTATTTGTCCAGCTGGTGTTGCTGGTCCCCATCGAAAGTCAGTAGAAGGTCGAAGACTTCCATTCCGTTACGAAATGTTCGCCCAAAATGTATAGTATTTCCTTCACAGCGGTAGATGCCTTTATTTGTAATAGTCTTAATAGCGGTACGCCCATAAAAGTTCTGCGGGTGGGCACACTCACACACACACATACATATATTGCATATAAGGGCAACATTTTTGGTCAAAAAGTGTTGGTGATTGCCTCAATTTAATGGTCATAATTGGAGATGATATATGAGTTAATTTGGTGAGCTTCTGGCTATGGTTTTTATTGTCTTTACAGTTGTGTGCCAGAAATCATTGTTAAAGTACTTTTCATCAATCATTATCGACCTTAAGAAGTTCATATTTAGAGCAATTTAAAGGCTACTTTTTTGTTGTGGAATATGTATAAGTATTTCTTCTTACTTATTGAAGAATAGCATAGACTATTTGCATAATATGTGTATAACTCACAAGAGTTGCCAAAATAAAGAAATAATAAGATTTGAGGGATTTGCTCGAAAGGCATTAAACGCTTATCCATTTGTGATGATATTTGTTCAATTATTGACAAGCTCAGTTCGCAATCAAGCAGTTGCTACATGTCTTTGCCTCAACTGAGCAGATTAGTTAACACTGCAGCAGCATACACTGAACCAAGCAATATTTCAACAAGTTGTAGAATCAAGTTACTTCTTACATATTTGAAATTTTAAATATATATTAGACAGACCAACAATTACAATTGATAAACTCTGCGAAGCATCTGGGCTTAAATTTAATTAAATATTTGAGCAAAGTATAAAGCTATAAGAACTGAAATATATCAGCTAAGTAAGACTAAAGACAAGAAAATAATAAATTAAAAAAAAAAAACCTGCTGAAAGCAAACTCTGAAATTATTTTTTTATCTCTGGCTCCATTGTTTGTGCACATTTTGCGCTTATTTAACCAGTTTACTCGCTTGGCTGCAACTTGCCCGTCGACCACTGCAATGTCCTTTGTATCCCGATATGCGACTTGATAAGTGCGACGGACAGTGAATAAATTTTTGCTTGCTCTTCCCTTTTGTGGGCTTCCCGTTTCACTGACTCATTCTGATTAATTGGTTCGTGCAACGGCAACGGACAGTCCTCTTAAATCTTTTCAACCTTAAAGCCTTTTAGATGCATAAATTTGTGTAGTACTCAAGATGCCACCTGCAGTCTGTCAGTTGAAAGGATACCACAACCAGTGCAGACAAACAAAATTTGCGAAATTCAACAAATTTTAGTTTGCGTCGCACCATACTCTTTTATACTATACCAACACCAACTATCAGTTGCATGCAGCTCCTTTTTTTGATGTGCACACTGAAAAAAGTGCATATATGCGAACTCAAGTCAATGGAAGGCTCAACTAGGATATACCATGTGTTCAATTTGGCAAGAGTAGAAAATGATAAAAATATTATGCAAAATTGCATTGATATTATGCAATTGAATTTGAATTACGAAAATATATTACTTGGGGAACTCTGCCAGAAAGTTATCCGATTCGTTTGATTTGTTTTGATGAAATTGCATTATGAATCCAATGTAAGCTTAGATTATTGTTCGAAACATTTTATGAATAACAAACATGTTGACTACGAAACAC